AAGATTTACATAAAATACAGTTCTTGCAATTGTCCGAAGAGATTTAACTTTGTATATCTAATGTATGTAAAGCAGTTTTAAATTCTTGTAGCGTTCTTAGTGTTCTTGTTTTTCCATCTAACTTAGACCAGATTACTGGACCTAAGTACCTAAGAGAGTGCTTACCATAACGTGTTGTGCTTACTCTGGGCTATTAAAATCATTGTTTATTTTTAAAATTATATCTATTATTATTAATGTCAAACAAGGTCTTGATATTATTAGGGTACAGATCGTTTTTAACTTTATACATTGTGATTTTGGACCTTGATGCTAACATTTGAATACGACAGGCATATCCATACATTTTTCAGAAAACAGGTAGTGAGAATACTCAAACTTATCAGGTAGAAGTTATCTTGATCTAACGCCAAATTCTCCTAATTAATTTACAAGGAAATGTGCAGCATCTAGAGGGGAGAATTTACAATCAGATCGTAGGAGTTAGAGAGTTAAAGTAATAAACCAAGTACACATGCTGTGTCTTCACAATAAGATAATTCTTTTTTTTTTTCCTTTGTTTTATTAGATATCGACAAAAGGAAGTTACAGGACACCTCAAGAAGTTGCCGCTGCTGTTGACTCCATCACAAAGACGGATATTCTAACGGTAGGAAAAGTTCACCTGCGAGAATAATAAGGGCTATTTCTGGGGATTCGTTGAGTTTAAGTCAACAATTTGTAACATTTTTAATTGGAAATTGAAAACCGAAGGCGTTTTGTTGAGGAAGCACAGCGCTTTGATGGCGAGGGTGGATTTAGTGGTATAGCGTCGTTAAGTCGTGTTCCTGAGTAAGACACCTTTCTCCCTCTTAAGCACTACCTTCTTTCCATTTAATTCTCATTCTCTTTATCCCCTTCTTTCTCCTTTCCTCGATCAGTAGAGTTGATGCAATCCTGCAAATTTTAGGAAAGCCAACAAACAAGGTTTTGCTGAAGTACTGTGCGCTATGCCCTAACTCATGTCAAGAGAGGGGCCACACCGTCACCAATTTAGGCAAAGTAAATGAATCATTTCGACATCCCCTCCCCCCTCATTTCATAGGTTTCCAAGTGGTATTTTCTCGCCTTTTTCAATGGTTGTGGGGAGTGGGAAGGCGGTGTGGTGAAGTGAGAGTGAGTTGATCGTTCCTTTTTGTTATATCGAAGGTTGTCATAATATTTGAAAACGGGAGAAGCTCCTCAGTCTTAAAAATATCTTCCTTTGGCCTTGTGAAGACGTTATCTTTGCTTATACTTTGCCTTTATCCTCGATCACAGGTGGCGAAACGTGTATTCTCTGGAAAACCATCGCTGTCAGCCATTGGTGATGTTTCTGCAATGCCCAGTTTGGATGAACTGATTTAACTTTGTGTTGACCGGCCCCTTTCAATAATTGTGTGTTGCTGTGCAGTGTTACAATTGATGCAGCCGGAGCCATTGGTAGAGACTTATTATTTTTAACGGAACTGATTGTTCATGGCGCCATTGGCTCTTTGTAAAGAATAGAGGAATGTTTATCAATAAACGCGTCGCCCTGGTCTTGGCGCTCTTACAAGAAGCTTTGATGTCAGGGATGATTTGTTCTCTGCTCTGTCTCTGGTTTTTTTACACTGTTTCTCTAGCAGCGGCGTGTACCGGGTCAATGGAAAAGTGAAAGATGTTATTGCATGAATCTTTGTCATGCAGAAAAATCAAATCGCCATTTAGAATAAAGTCCTTCAGCGCGACATTTTGCACAAGCTACCCAATACAGGAGTCTCCGGCGAGATTTCTCTTGGTTCCCAATATGTCAAGTGTCCACTTGAAATTTTTGAGCAAATGCGTCCTTTAAAAAAATGATAGAAAGAGCGAAAAACAAGCAAAGAAGTGTTGTGTTTGGATAGCCGATTCTATTTTACTTGAATTCGAAGTGGACTGATGACAGTCTCTAACTCCTGTTTCATGTTCGCATATGCGGGCCAACCCTGGTGGCGGAAAGGCTCATGACAGCCCTTAATGTTCTCACTCTTAACCGGCTTTACACCCTAAGATCAGTATGCATATTCTCCATACTGTTTTCTATACATTTCCTAAGGTGCTGACAAGGAGAATTTGTTTATCAATCAAGAGCTTCTTTAATTAGGTATCATTTCTTCTATTGTCACGACCGTAATGTTTGACTCAAGCGTGACATTGTAATGAGAAATTAGATGCTGCTACTCTCGGGGGCTAAAAGGTCAAACGACAGACGTAAACGTGTTTCTAAACAGCGCTCTTTTACCTCGATAGGCGATAGGTGAGAGAAGATAAGATGCCAAAAAACCAATATAGTGAAACCTGTATTCAGGGGACTCGAGTAACTGTTTATCTGTGAGAAATTGTCGTGGTAAAGGAAGGCGAGTGCGAGTGGAGTTATATACCAAAATGTATGCGCAAGGACGGAATCAGTTGTCTTCTAATAAACCCTCGCCGCAAGTCTCCTACTCCTAAGCATTGCTTTGATTCGTTTTTCAGTGTTTTGGAGATTGTTTTATTTTCCAGATTGTTCGTTTTTCTAAGTCATTTTAGCGTCAAGGAATGGTAAACCACTAGAATGTTTTCCTTCCTGCCTTGGGAAAGTTGAGACACGTTTTAATCTTCTCTTATTGCTTCCTTGCAGTGTTAACATTCTTTTAGTTTCCCAGTTTCTTAGTCACAGACTTTGGACTGCCACGTAATGGCGTTCACCAGTCAGCTACTAGTTTAAGAAAGCAAAAAATGTGTGTTCATAGGATGGCTCGCTAATCATCACCTCTTCGAAATATTTGATATTACTGAGCGCCTTGTTGACCGAAATTGGCGGGATTGCATGTATATGTAATCTGTTTACTTTGGAACCTTTTACAAATTTAGCGGCTAAGAAGAACGTATTACCAGCTCGTATCAAAACTAACACGGTTTGCTTCAAGTGTGTTGGTGCAATTGGTATTATCATAATTTTTCTTTTCCTCATTTTTCAGTCACAGACATCAATATAAGGGGGAAGGGAGAATAGGACTCGTGTCCAATTTCAATGAAATCATCTGCAATTAGGTCACAAGTGTTGTTATTTCACACCTCTCTTTAACGCTTTCTTTATGATCCCTAAAATTGCCATTAAATTAAATAACTGTCTTATTTTTAAAAGGAGCTTAAATTTTAAACTCGTGCTCTTTGTTTGTTTGTTTTTTTTTTCTGTTTTTTTTTTTTTTTTTCGTTGCCTCTTGATCGCCTAGACTTTTACAGAGTTTGGACTTTGGCAACCAACACCCAAGTTTGGTTCCGAGAGCAGTTTAGACGTCCTAGAGTATTCCGCGTTTCAGCACAAATTTTTGATTCATTTTGTTGCGACGTACAATGTTACCAGAACTGACAGACACTCGCAAGGCAGGAATAAACAAAAAATGAACTTCTGTGTTGAAAACGGAGAAGATTATTACAACTTCCAAATGACCCCGCCATATCGCACCGTTGTTTTCACAAGAAACACTGCCCAGTGATATCGAGATTTCTAGTAATTGTACATGTTCTAGATGCGTCCCTATTAAATTGAAAAGTTTTCTAATGGAATTTTTGAGATTAGTTTGTTTATCTTTGGTAGGTCAGGACTGTTTTTTTGTTGCCGGCCTTTGTAATGTAAAGGTTATGTCAATCTTGGGTTATCTTCCACAACCAAGTTGCCCATTTTCCTTGTAGCCGGTATTTTGTTGTAGAAGTTTCTAGCGAAGTTCTCATTCAATAACTTGCAGCGTCATCAGATGTAATGAGTTCTTTGCAGTTAATCGGAAATGCTGCACCGAAATAGTGTTGAATAGCGGAAATTTGTTACGGATGTTTTTTTCATTTTTAGGCCCCAAGCGTTGGAAAATCTTGTTTATTTTTTAATTATAGGTAACATTATGTCTGTTTATCTTGTAATCAGTGAAAGTCTTTGACCTCGAAGCAACTGGAAATACGCCCCCGTCTGGAAAGTATCCCGTTTGTACAGCATATAATTTGTGATCCTTCATGTTTTGAAACTCCCGTGTACGGCAGCAGAAATTGCTCTATTAGGAAAGTACACTGTGTCTTTTTTTGTCGGGGAACTTATTCCTGCATCTCATCAAACCTCAAAGGTTAGCTTTACAAAATAACGAAAGGCAAAAACGAAGTCCGCCACGAGTTCAAGTTTCTGCTTTAAAACGCGCGTTGTTCCCATATTCCATCTTTGCGAGACATTCGTCGGAGATTTCACCAATAGAAAGGCAATAGGAAACATCCCAAAGTTTTCTCTACACTCATTTAGCAATCAGCGAGAGCGGAGTGAACCCATTCATGATCTACTGGCTTGACTGGGTTGAAGCCGTCCTTTTAGGCTAAATTCTTATTTCTTCATCCGTCACTGTAGCACTCAAAACCATCGACTTGCTGAGGCAAATGTTGTGATAATAGAAAAACAAGTGTATGCAATCAGAATTTCCTATGTGTGATAAGTGAAAAGTTGCATGCAATAATGCATGTATCGTGCGCAAAGAAGCATTTACAGCAGCTGAAACAAATCGCAATGACAGAAACATCTGCCGGGCTAGTAATTAGGCGTGTACTATCTGGATCCTTGTCAGTTTCCGATTTGACCTTCGTTTTCTTTTCTTTCCTTTAGAGCTGATCAAGCTGTTAACTGTGTTCTCCTAATTGCTTTTCTATGTAATCTGTTCCCTTTAAATTCACGATTCTCCAGAAAAAGCTACATGCATGCTCTAACTAACCACAGGGAAGTCAGAAGTCAGTGTAATTCGCATGTTGTTCTTGGGGGGCCTTTGACACATGACCCTTTCTGGGGAAAAGACGGAAGATGTATTTCTTTTTTCTTTTACAATCCTTTAAATAGCCTTGGAAAAATGCACCAATACAGTGGTTTTAAACGTTGCACAGGGTTCAGAAAATGTTATGATTCCGCGTTTTTAAATACTGAGGAAGTTTCATCTTTGTTGGTTCTTTTGAGGGCAAAAGGATCGCGTGGTCGTCGAGGGTAGGGATTGAGATAAGACTACAAAGATAGCTTTTTTGTCAGGTTATTTCTGAAAAGATATTTCTAGAGAGAAATCAGATCTGTACTGCACAAAAAAAAACCAGAAAAAATAGCACTCCTTTCGTGCGAAACAAGGTTATGTCTCCCCACTAACCGAGTTATCTTAGTAAAAATAACTTTTGAGCATATTTCGGGCGATTGCGTGCAATCAATGGAATGAGACAAATGATAAAGAAAGGAAATCACCCGCTGAAAGTCTGTGTCGAGTCCTAATGTAAGTTTCAACTCTCAGTAATGAAACACTGTTTGGATCTTCTGCCATTTATTCAATTTGTTTTCTATTTGGGGTATTATAGGTGAGAAATTACCACCTAGTGGTGTCGAGACTAGTATAGTCTTATTGGATTAATTTGTGCCATATATCTGTGTGAGACCAAAACCATTTGCCGAAAAAAAAAATGTACGTCGAATTTGTGAAAAAAAAAACTTGACTTGAAATCTCAAGCACATAATTCGAGTTTCTCATCTGAAAATGTTCGTGTTTTGAGAAAAACTGTTTTCTGATTATCCAGTCAGGAACCACGGGGTAGTTGTGTACGTCAGTTATACAGATGTGGCGGGAGAACTTTCCGTTTCTTGACCTTATACGGCTTCGCACATAAACTTTGTTTCCGTTTCCTGGGTCTTAGAGCGTAAGTAACTTATGCTTTCTCTTATGAAAACAGAGTTAGTGAGTGTGTGGGTGGTGAGGGGCGGACAGCTACGAGATACTCGTGATTTCCACACCTTCGGTTTCGTTTCCTTTGCGAAAATCAGATTTTTATCTTTTCCCTTTCGTTATTCCTCACGTATTGTGCATGTTACATCAAATCTTACAGACCTTAACATTCCCTATTTTTCGTTCTTCTTTTAAGCCGTGTTATAGAATTTAAAAATTTGGTCAGAACATGTGCTTTTAAGGAAAGGCCACATGCCTTGTTGAAACTGAATGTCGCTAAGCTTTTCAAGAGAGTTTCGTGATTCTTAGGTCGATTTATGCTTTGCAAAATTGGTGAAACATTCTAGAATCAATGTCCCTAAAAGATCCTTTAAGCCCTCAAGGCACATCAATCTTAATCAACGTCAGTTGTACGTTTCTATGTCATCTGTAAAGCTCGGCTCGCTTCTACAGGTGTAGAACATGCCCACAGAATAAGCAGATATTTAGAAGCTTACATTAATCGCAAAAACCATCCAACAAAATTTTGTAAATGCGTTGTGTACAAGGAAGAGAACGATGGATCTCCATCTGTTTAATCTGTTCTTTTTATGTCCTATTTCACAGTGCTGATTGTTGACCTTTGAAAAGGGGTAAATTAATGAGCTATTTGTGTGCCAAACACAATACTTGGGAGAGCGTGGGAAAAACTGCAAAAGCGAAGACCATGACGACGATATTATACTCTGTCTCTTTATTTACAAGTTCCGCTAATAAAAATCATCGATACAATATATTGTGTACAAAGTTTTGAAATATGTAACAGGAAAGGGAAGGCCATTATGAACGCAACAACTATTTCGTAACTCACCACATATCAATCTTCAAATTCTCTCCAGTTGCTTGAAATACATTCGATGAAGGACCAAGGAGAAAGGGAAATTGCATCAGAAAACTGATGTTTAAACCTTAACAATTATAAGTAGATTTTAGATATAAAAATTCCTTATTGAAAGGTGGATAAAAATATACATTACCTCCTCGTGATAGCATTCAAGTTATTTACATGTAAACAGTTCGATAATAATTCGCGATATTTTAATGTTCTATTACTGTCAATTATGCTAGGTGTAAGCCCTCGTACTGATTCCGTGACCAAAAGTCTTCCACGTCAATTCACATCTTATAACTTGAAATACGTCATCGCCGTAAGGTACAAAAAATCCTTTTTTCCCTTTCGAGTATGACGTTTGCAAATGATTATAGAAGTATATTATGAAAAGTGATTATAAAGCAAAATCAAAAATGGAAATTTCTACGAATTTACAATTCTCTCATGTATTTGTTAAATGATTATTCTAATCTTATTCAATGTGGAGTTTTTGGTTCATTATACTATTTTCTAGAGTCTAAATCGGTGTCTGCCGTTCTGGGACACTGCGACGGAGTGGCTTGCGCTTGCCCCATCGCTTGTAACTCCTTCGTCTTCTTCGACTGTATTCTTCCGTAATTGGCGCAAGAAGCTGTGAATCATTTTCCTTTCTTTGATGAGGTCTTGTTCGATTTGAGAATACTCATAGTTACAGCATTTCTCGTAGAAAACTTTATGAGGTTTGCATTTTGCCAGCAATCGGCGGTTGATTGGGTGGCTGGTACGCTTCCAAACTGCTGTTTTCATCTGATGAAAGTGCCTATTGGGAGAGATTTCGTCTACATTACTCGTGTACCTACATGTCTCTCCGATTTTGGCCACATCTCGCCCGAGATTGCAGCATTTTTCCCTTCGAGTAAGCTTCTTTGGTTTTTCAGCCTCTTCGGTTCGAGGTTTTGCTGTCGAGCCGCCCGTAGCCTGAGTTTCAACGAAATCTGAAAACGGAAGAAGACGACAAATTCAGCTGAAATTAATCAAAACAAAAAAAAAATATTTTATTGCGCACTAACACCAACCTTTCAAATTTTCACTGTTATTAACAATGACTGCCCCATTGGTCAAAAAACTGAATAGCACCACGAAGGCAATGGAATAAACTGAAACTGGCTTCATTTTGCCGAGCACAGGTCCTCGTGAATATGCTTGCGTAGTAACTGCGTGAATGTCTCGTGTTTGAGGTTTTGTTTTGAAACTTAACCCAGTAAAACCAGTTCGATATGTTTGACGTTATTGTTATAGTATTAGTCACTGAACTGAGTAAACAAGTTAAATACCATTAGTTGTCATTCACCATCGAGGGTTTACTTGATTGACACCTTTAAGAACAATGGGGAAACAGAATAACTGAGAAAACAATGGTTTAAATTTGGTTACGTCGCTCCGGGCCAACAAAAATCTTTTTGTCCCTTCTTTTAAACATAAATAAATAATGTCTTTGTGAAAACCGAACGCCTTTCGCACCCCATCTTCTGTATTGTTCTTAGGATCTTCTATTAAAACATCTGATTTAATCTGCCGTAAGGTCAGTCATTTTGTTTGTCAGTTCTATGTTTTGGTGTGTTCTAGTTCCAGAAATCCGTGGGAATGTTTACCCAAAGGGTAACATGTATACACTAATTACCGATAACTCACAAAAAAGGGCGATCTTAGCGTAGGAGTGACACAATTGATCTCCCAGAAGAGTTTAAAAAATTTATAAATTTTATACTTTTTTTCTCTTTTGAGCTTGCTGGGCATAGCTAAGCGGATAACTGGCGGAAGTTTGGAATCGCTTGGGCTAAGTGACTGCTGTAATTTCAAGTGAGATGGAAAACTTCCAGGCGCCGAAATGTCTAAGCACACTGAATACTTTTAACCCAAAGTTGTCCCTCAAAAACGAAAGATTTTGTTATCTTCTTGGTTTCTCTCGTCGGATAACAGATTTAGTGTACTTTTTAGCTAATCACTATTGTTTATTCTAACACAAGTCAAGCACTTGAAAGGGTTAGGGTTTCCGGAATATAAGTACCTACAAAATGAAAGCTCTGGACTGCCCTCAACACTCTTGAAATGGATCTAGTGTAGGTGAAATGATCCGACGATATTGGTTTTTTCAGATTTTATTGTGCACTTGCAATTGAAAATTACAAAGGCTGAAGCAATCATGATGACTCAAGTGATGCAGTCAACACCCTCGAGGTTTTGGAGCGAAGCCACAAGTGGACGAAGGAATGCGGTAAAAAATCAATATCGTCAGAATTACATGGCATGTCGCCGCTATTGTTCTGTTAATTAAATACCATTGTTCTTTTGAATTCAACTCACGTTTAATGGAAAATAATACAGAGAGACTTTTTCAACGTACTTAGAGTGCTTCTCTCTCAAGAACTGCCCTATTTGAGATTTCTTCTCTGTCCAAGTATTCGTTTTCCCTTAACAGATGCTTCAGTAGATGTACTGTAGAAGACCCAAACCGTGTTGCGATACGTACCCCTTATCCCTCGAGGTCAAGACTACGATTCTAATCAATGCAATATTGTTTTGAACCTATTTTCGAACATTCACACTGCCAGGCACATCTACAGCTCTAGCTCCTGCTTGCCTCACCAGGGACAGCTTCACATGATTCCATTGTGCCGTACCTCTGGGTGTTCCCATCTCCACAGAGTGCGCAGTGCGATATGAAATTTGAACACAATGAGAATGTAGTCATTGTGTATAAATTGCCTGTGATTGTTTACTTTATACGTATTTGCAAATAACTGCTTGAATGGTAGTTTTCGGAAGCAGTTATAACAGCAAGAAGGAGTTGATATCTCGCGTGCTGTGATGATGGAACAGATCGTTCTTTTTTTGGCATACTTTAGGTGTAAGAGTTAGGAGCTAACTTTCTTTGATGCCGCAGGTGTTTAAATCGCTTGCCAGCAAAAGGGTAAAACAACAGCTCTTTCATTGTGAGCTTACAAAGAATCTTTTTGACGGAAAAATACCACTGATTTGTGTTCACGTGAGCTGCACGTGTTGTTTCCTTCAAACTATTGCCTTAAGTTTGGTGAAAATTACTTGATTAGGACATGTGAGCGGACAGAGCTTTTTATTTTTGATCATTTGCAGACCAATTTGAAACGCTCCAGCACATACGAGCGTTGAAACGATCCATCACATAATACGAGTCAGTGTAGGTTAGTGTAAACAATTCACGTTAAGTACTAGTTAACGCCCAAAAACTTAAAAAAAAAAAAACTGAGGTATCTTAAAAAGGATCACTCTGCTAGTCTCCACGATGCAACAGTTGCTGAGAGATTTTTTCATACTTTCTTCACAAAATTCTGTTTCATTTACGTAAAGACGTCGCTCACTATAACCTTAGTTTCATCAACTCAGTGAAGCATTGCATTTTAAGATCATGGCGTCAAACAAATTAATGTCTGCGCTGTGTTAATTATTTTGAAAGATATATCGGGATGATCTAGGGGCTCCATACTTGACATTTAGAGTTGCAAGTGGCTGTAATTATTGCCAATTTAAAAGCTATCACTATTGTGATTCAGCTGGGAAAGCAAGTATCTCTTGAAGCTAGAAGAATCATTAATAACGTCCTCTTTAATGGATTCACTAACATTCCCGTCGAATACGTTTTTAACTTGTATTTTCTATAAACAGAAAATGCTTCATTGCAAACATCTTGCAGTGGACGTAAAAACAGAAAAAAGACCAGTCATTCATTTACCGTCCAGGGGTGGGAAGGGATGTGGGATTTTTGCATAGATCACATGGTTTTCAGTGAGAACCGAGAGTGATCATCGATCAATCGTCGCCAACAGAGTATAAGGGGTGGGGGTGGAGGTGGGGTGGAAGGGGCTATATCAATTGCCAAAGAGGGGGCAGGGGATCGGAAGAATACTACCGAGCCTTGTGGGAAGGATCAGGTAAATAACAAAATTTTTTTCAAAAACCTCGTTCCCAGGGCCTTTTTCCCCGACTGAGGAAAAAGGCCCTGGGAACGGGGTTGTTTTTCCAACACACATTCTGAAAGATTACTTTAATTTTACTGCTTACTTTGAAAACATTTCAATCTATTTTTCAATAGAGGTATTGTCTTTAGATCATTTTTGTCGGATTTTTAGACAGCTCATCATAATTCTTAAATCTGTACCAATCTACGCATCATACTTGATTATCTCGTATGTATCCTGTAAAAATGTTTTCTCGTGCATGTGGGATTATTAATAGATCATAACAGTGCAACATGAAAAAACGTATATGCCAAAAAGTAAAATCAGAGAAAGAAAGATGTTTTTTCGCCTTGTCATGAGCATGGGATAAAGGAAAAATTCTGGGTTTCCAATATCCATATCGGGACCCAAACGATTCATTAAGATCACTGATCACTTCACGTGTACCTCCGTCAACGTCATCTATTGCATAACTTTGTATTTATTTCAAAAAGATATACATCGGCTAAACAGGAAGACGACTAGGTGGCCAATTTACAATTTCAACTTAGTTGATATAACCAAATTACCTTGTTATCCCCACCGACGCACCACCACAGTTTCTTTAGAAACTTGCTCCCTTTATTCATTTGAAGATGATTACTTTATTTGAAAGAGTTGAAAGCAATACAAATAGGTGGCCGTTTTACTTCGTAACAAAGTGGAACTCTTAAATGTAATCTTATGGCCATCTAATGCAACATTTGTTAGGTCAAGATCATATTGGCGTTATTCTGTCTTTGTACACGAAAAAACTAAAATAGAAATACTGGCCAATATCTTGAAATCTTTACATCACGTTTGTTCAATAACGTATATTTATTGAAAAGATGTTACTTGTTACAGCCCATTCATTTAAATTTGTGACCTAGTGGTGTGATGGGTTGGTAACAACCATTCGCCCCGATGAAGGCGGTGAATTCGGCCAAAGTATAGGCAAAGGATATCACATCTATTTTGACACTTCATCTTGTGTTGTGGTCATATTTACAAGAGGCATATATCTATAAACTGCCAACTACATCTTCAGATAAAGATAAGCTGATCGTTATCTGTAATATTCCTTATGGAATACAAACATCATTGTTGAGATATTTATAGTCAGTTTTAAAGAAAAAAATTAGCCGGGGTGAGTAACGCACATAAACGTTTCCGTAGTCTCAGTCTAAGTCTTCATTTGTCATTGCAATGTACGATTCTAAAAATGTATGTTTTTACCCCCAAAATATCTAAATAGGCGAGCCAAAACTCGGGTCGCCAATCACCTTTTCATATTCAAATATTAGCCTAATTATAAAAGAAGACATAAAACGCTCAGTATTGAGTTTTGAGGGACGCGCACACAGTTCTGCGGAGTTTGAATAAGAGCAGTCCTTTTAAGAAGGGTTGTACTCATTTAGAGGATGGTTCTCTAGGGAGGTTCATCTGTTACTCTCTAAAAAAATGTTACTATCTTTCCTACTTAAGGGATCCGTAATAGATAAAGGGCGAGAAACGTAACATTGTTTGTAACGTTTGTCGCAGACTAGTTTAGTATATTACTCATGATGTCAGACTCAGACGCCCCCTAGAGCGGCCTATATGTTTGATTACGATATAGTAATCAAAGCCTTTAAGAACATGTGATTGATCTCGTTCTTTTTCGCTCCAAATGGCATCGGATGGTTTTCTTTTTTTCGGTGATCGTTAAACCCTTCGTTAAACCTCAAACCTCATAATCCGTTCATGAAGGCCACGCTAGATAATTTTTTGCGCTGTCCTTAATCCTCTCTCACAAGGGGAGCTAACTATATTTCGTGCTCAATTGTAAACTCGAACTGCCGTTCAATGACTCAGATTTCGCAGATGCTGCTAGATGGTCTTTTCCAAAGTATTGACCGAAAGAGCACTGGACGAGAATTGTGACGAAAAGAAGTGCGGCGAGCAATGAACATGAGAAAACAAAGGGGAAAAACTTCCAAAACCTCCAATTCTTCGTCTTTGGATTAATTGAATAAGTACTAACTTGAATGACTTTGGCCAACCGTATTCGAAGTATTGTAGCCAAGTGCTAATGAGGCGTCTCAACCACTCGGCCCAGACCTTTCTCGCCAAACGGCGGCCCGCCATCATCGTAAGTCAAAAATTGTTTGCTTCGGCGCAAAATGTAGACTGACATTTTAGACTCTACACTATACTGGTACGCCGATACTTCTCACTAGGTAACTATATTATTATTACTCAGCTAGTTAATGATTACTTGAGCCGTGAAGGACTGCCGTACCAGTTGAATCTTTGAAAGGTCGATCGTCTTTGACTGTTAATTCGAAGTGTTTGTTTTCGATAATTTATACTGACTCCCGTTTTCTCTCATTTTTCGTGTACAGCATCGTATTCGATAGTTCACTGCGAATTATCCCAAAGTGCCCAGCCGAAGTCAAAGTAAGCAGTAAGTGACGATGTGAAATCAAGAGCATTGTTAGATTTTACAATGGAATCTTTCGAAACAAATTTTGAACGACAGTGCAGCATGACAGAGACGACTATGGCAATCTTTATGGCAGCAACAACGACGACAACAAGTACAGAAACAACAACAGTGACAGTGCTCATGTCAGGAAAAATAGCAAAAACATCGTCAAAAGCAAAGGGCGACAATGCCAACAATACCACAGCCGGCAGCCATTAAGAGTAAGTTGACCACTTTTTGCTCAATGATGAGAACGTACCGCATGAGATGTCACCTCTCCTCTCAAGATTATTGCTTGATTCCAAAACCTTTGCGGGAAAATTCGAAATCCGTCTTACGCTGGGATTCCAGAATTCAAAAGTATGGGACAATCATGGTAAGAAAATTTTCATTTTACATGAATCTGATTCCTAATGTGTATAATATTGCAGAATAATGTAAATTTGTGGATATCGTGGTACGTTCTGTGACATTTACCTTGGGTACATTATCACCAGAGGGTTGTCCCTCAGTCCAGTTGGATGTTTGGGTGGGATGGTTGAAGAGGAGGGGGGGGAAGGAGTCCGTTCCCCATCATACCCCAGGGCTTTCTTTGCTACTTGTCTGACAGTACCAAAATCCTTGCAACGACATGAGACATGTTACCGCTCAAACGGCTACCTTTTTTTGTGTGAGACGGGGCTCGGATTGGTCTAGAAGTTAATTTACATTCCCCCCCCCCCGCTAGGCCGCTCCCAGTAAAAGTTCCTGGATCTGGAACGTTAAGTTGGAGGGTTATTGACGAGTGACTTAGTTCAGTCATATCGGCTTAGAACACTTAAAAACTTTTAAAAACTGAGGTATTAGCTGAGAATAGGTAGACACGGCAGATTTTAAATTCTTGCTTATTTTTGCTACAAGCTACAGACGACTTTGAATTGCTTACGTATCCCTATCTAAACGCGTAAGAGGTTAGGAGCCGTTACGCAAACCTTCGACTGGATCTCAGGTCTGCACGGCAACAACGTTATCCCGACAGTGTCAACAATGGCAGGCAGCAAATAGGTTTGTCCTTGCCCTTAGCAGTTGAGATATGAAAAGTATGAAAAGCTCCCCGAAGACATTCCATTATTTGTAAAAGGAGACTTCTTTGGGAAAGACTTGTCAATAACTGAATTTGCAGGTGTAGATGACTCGGTCGAGGGCTTTTGCCAAGCGGGACACATTTAAGGGGATTAAAGAGTAATTCTACTCCATCAAGTTTTCCATAACAAGGTCGAGAAAGTTTCCCAGAGAAGCTTCCCTTACTGAAGTAAAGTGATAAATCGTATCCTTGGTTAAAGCCTGATAGTTTCTAAAGAAACTGTTTGGGGCTGCGTCGGTGGGGGTAACAAAATAATTTGGATATATCAACAAAGTTGAAATGGTAAATTGGTGACCGTAACGATGACAAAAGCTGACGTTTCGAGCATTAGCTCTTCGTCGGAGCGAATAGAGGAATTGTGGGTTGTGTGTGCTTTTAAAGGCAGAAAATGGAGCTACGTATCCTTGGTTAATGCTTTTGCTAAACTTGCTTAAGAGATAATGCCGCAAAATGAAAAGATATCCAATCAGACTAAATCGATTGAATTGATACCTATACTAGGTCAGAAGAAAAGAGAGAGATAGGCTTCTAGTTGTTATTTCGATTATCCTTTTAAATATTGGATTCATTCCACTTTAGTTCGCCCGATGGAATAATTTGTCGGGAATCCGTCTTAAGAGTAATTTTTAATCTTTTCCGGTGTAGGTTGACACAAAAGATTTCGAACTTGTCATAGCTCGTCATCTAAATAAGTTCAATCTATTCTCGACCTTGAATTTTCACTCAAGCTGCCAGGACTTTTACATTCAATACAGTTCTGGGTTGAGTTTGCCTGCACTCTAGACCAACCCTGTTTTCTCAGTTTGCTTCACACTATATACAGGAAATAAAACTGAGTATTGCGTGGACCAATGTGTACAGAGACGTACGAATCATCCCTCTTTTAGAAAATTCCGCGACTACTCATAATACAGGAAGCCAAACTGACATGAGCAGTTGTCAAGAGTGAGTAAATTTAAATTATTCTAATAGCTTAAACTGGCGCGGTGAAACCATAGCTCAGTGAACTGGGCGTTGTTTCTTCCGGTAATCTGTTCGTTTTAATTATATTGAGACCTAGATTAAAGGTTTTTTTTGTCTGGACGGTTTGCTAAATAAATTTGTTGAAAGTCCCGCCCAGAGATTACAGGTTTCAAGAAGCAAACGTCGCGTCTGTAATGAGGAAGTGTCTTTAAACGTGTTAATGCGATAAGACGATAATGAGAAAGAAGATTTCAGTTATTTGTCACTGGTTCAAATCTCTTTGGATAATTCCAATTACTTTGGGAAGTGGAATAAAAGAAAGATTAGTTGCGAGAAGAGCCTCTACGTCCCAAATTCGGTAACTGCGTAAGCACGAAAACGGAAACGTTTGGTGGAAGTAGTCGGAGAAATCAAACCGCGGTCTTTTGGATGTGGTCTTGATGTCAACCTTGGGTCAAATTACAATTCTTCTTTAGATTATGATTTAATTGCTTTAGCGCTACGATTTTCTTTTTTATTTTTGCATTTGTTAAATCAAATTCAAAACAGGAAGATGAAATAAGTCTCTCGACTAGATTGGGATAGTTTTCTCTAGCTTTGGCAATTGGCTTTGAATCAATATTACCAATTTGCGACGATTATTTATTCGGTTCATAAAACCTGTCTCTAACAAATGTATATCCTGACTGAGTGCGTACCATAGGATCAAAGGATCTATGTAAAGCTATGGAAGCTTCATCTGATTTATAATCTTTAATATAATTCCTACCAAGGTCACTAAGATCCAAGCACACCTCGTGAGGGATGGAATTACTTCTTGGAATCACTTCTTCTGTAGATTAAGTCGGAAGGCTGTTGCGGTCGAGAATAATTTAATTCGTCAAATCCTGGCCGATCTATTTCTATCCTTTTCCTAAACTGACCGTCGTGCAAGTGTCGAGTTTAACTCGGTGATCACGTGATAAGTTTCAATCTTCTTGAGAACGAAAAGGAACACAAGTGCCTCCTCCCTCATTTCCCCTCCCTCCCCCTCCACGTAAGATCAAAGCTCGCCATACTGAGTGCGGGTATCTCTGAATGTTCGATTATTTTGTGGCCATATTTGAAGCCTATACAGTTATATTTCCTTCACTGAGGAACTAAGATGCTAGTGTTAAGCCAAAAAGCGGTTTTTCGTAAGTCACTTATGCGATGCAAACAGCTGGTGTTTTGAACACTTCAATTATATGTCTGCTGAGTGAGATCATTGTCGAGGAAATCCAAAAATACCCTCACGAATAAACATTCTATATCTTACTTACGGATTTACTCCAGATGAAGGAATTTCAATTTTTTATCCAATTTACACTTTGGAATGTTTTTTTTTTTTTTTTTGAATCTGCAAAGACTCCTCGCATCGACCGACAAATTCATAAATCAATTTTCGCACTAGATTTCAACGGTGATGTTTTATGAAAAGATAGTGTTGATATTGGTATAAGGAAAATTAGCCAATCAGATGTGTAATCAAACAGATTCGGGAATCTGCACGTGCACGCGTTAAGTCTTCCCATTTATAACACAGGAAGGAACTCGGACGTCAATGCACACGCTTCACTGAATAATAGACATTTTTATGAAGCTTATTATTGCTTTTACTCTTGACCTCCGGACATCAGCGTTTTTTCTTTCTCGCGAGATCATCTTGATACTACATCACTTAGGAGCAGTATAAGTCTATAAGAACTGAGATCATGTTTCACTGTAGTATCCAAATACTTTGGTTCTACGACTATATGGGGACAAAGAATAAGCAGAAATTAATGATTACATCAAATTTTTCTTTTAACTTTTTTCGTAATCGTCTGATTTTGCCTAGAAACGCTTAATTGAATGGAATCAATATAGGGACATAGCTGAAACAAGATAAGAAACCCTATTCAGAGGAAAAGGAAAATTAAGTCAAACTCTGCTTGCACGTCCGCCCTGAGGTGCCTTTATTGGTAGAGTGAATTATATTGCGTATGTTAATTAATGAAAGAGGGACGTTTATCCAAAAAATGAGCCTTAGCGGGACCTGGGGTGCAAACCAAAATGGAATTGTTAATTGGATCAAAGGTGTAGCTCTGAGTTCTTAGAAGATTATCAAAAGAAGTGGATCAGAATTATTTGGAGAAGGCAATTACTCACTCAAATCATTCATCTGTATTATATTTGATCGTATATCTGTTATCTCTGTGACTAGTATTCAGTTTACTCATTGTATTGCTAGTTTACACCCGCTAATACCACTGAACTACTCTTAAGTTGCTTAAGATTGCCTTGCTCTCTGGAAACAGCGCTTGAGCAGTGCATGTAGTTTCCAGGGAAAATCTCTCTGTTTTACTACATACGCTTAACATGACTTGTTCTTGACGCTAAACGTGTCTTGGTTCGTGTAACTACTCACAAATGACGCCTTAACAATTTCCCTCCGATCCTTTTTATTCTCGTCTGTCTTTCTGATTGACAAACTAAAGTTTCGAGAGGCCAAGCAATCCTGTGGCTTTGCAGATGGATATTTGGACGATTGCAGCGCGTCAATAACAGTTCCTTGATCGCGTGATAACAATGCTAATGGATGCTCTACCAACATTTGTCAGTAGCTCGGCTCCTCCTACCACTTAACTCCACTTTGCTATACATTACTCACGCGGCTGACTTAGCACATCATCAAAACGTGTAATGCTGACAGCTCAGATATACTAAACAACACAGCCGACATATTAATAGTCTCTTTGCCGTCATTAACCCCATAAAACCAGACAGTCTTAAATTAGATTATTCATATATTTAGTAAACACTAGAATTCAGATCGGGACAAGAAATTACGCTTTTTCCACCCATTGAGGAGATCTTAAATGCCTAAGGGCTTAAAACCCTTTTCAAGTCGATTTGAGTTCCTAACGATCTTTGTTACAATTCTACAGATAAATTGTTTTACCCTAGTGAGATACATAATGACAACGAACATTTTGCTTTACAAAATAAAAGAGTTGGATGAAAATATACATGTCATTTCGTTATTATTTAACGCAAATGTCAACCACGTTCCTAGAGAATCCAAATACTTCACATTCTTCAACAGAAAAGACGTAAATCGGCAATGGGAACTTAAATGGCAATTAAGAATTCCACGAATATTATAAATTTGTCTCGACTGCCTTTTATCTTAGAAATAAAATAAATTGTAAACAACTTTACCAATGGCATCAAAACACGGACACGGTATAAATGGATCAAATTCAAAACCATTTAGGTAATTATCCGTTCATTCTGTCCTGTTTCTCTCTTCAGAATGTAAACGATTACGTGTTACTTCGGAAGACTTTGTTAAAAAGACTAGGTTTGTTCCGTGTGTGTCTCCAACTCTGCAGAAGCGCTTTGCATTTGTGTTTGTGTGGCTGCTTTTGCTTTGGCTTGCTTTTCTCGAAGTCTAAGCTCGCAGCAATCTTGAAAGCATCGCCTTTGTACTGGTCCTTGAGATTCGCAGAGGTTCAAACGCCAGCGAAATCCATGTGACATGCGAAGCGAGTTAGCAGCATCCATTCTGTCCGCCTGGACATTGTGCGTCTTGCGAAGTCGATGACTTGCAGACTTGTGGTGTTTCAGACCTTGTACCAGAGCCTCGATGTTGCATGTGTAAACTGACGACGTGTAGTCAAGTCGCACAGCCTTTCGTCCAAGTTTGCAGCACAGGGTAGTTCGTCGGCAAGCCGTTGGTGAGGTTTTATCTATCGAGGAGGAAACAGAATAAGCAATATCAAAAAAATCTGCAAGCATTTGCTCTTGGATTACTCGCGATCATTTAAGCCCAATAAAGGATTTTTTGGATTTTTTTAAGTGAATGGCATAGTAGCATTTCGCTACGAAATTCTGAAAAGAATGTCAACAAAAACATAAAACATGGGTAATTCGGGAACGCTTTGATCGAGTTCTGAACGGTACTTAAAAACACCACACTTGTACGAGATATTAGCCCACTAACTGACGAAGGCGCACATGGTCTTTCGGAATAATCTTACTCGTTCCCTGAACATCTTTGGTTGAACAATTTATCACTTTAGCTTCAGATGACATAAAGCAAGTCGATGGTAATGAGAAAAAGCTAATAAGACTATGTCGTTTTCAAAATGTGGAATTATTATTGTTATCTGGCTGTTGTCCTGGCTATTTTTTTTTTTTTTTTGAAGACATTTCCATTAGAATGGCTTCGGACAGTCTTCACAGTTCCTACAACAAGCTAGTGTAGTTTGGTAACCTCTATCAGATGAACGCGCGTAACGCAGTCTAGAACTAGAACATATTCCGTGTCCATAAGACACGTTTTAGAAATCGAACGTGCAAGAGCAGAAGACTTTACTGAGCTATACCTTTGTTTCGTCTTGTTCCTTCAGCAATTTCATTACGGTTCCCTTTTCTAGCTGAAGCGGCCAAAATGAAACTTAGAATTCCAATTGCAAGAAGAACTGTTGTTCGTCGCATTTCCAGTCTCACATAACTCACTTGGCTCCAAATTATTCATGAATTGCAGAAAGGCACGCTCTCTAGCGCACTCCGACTGATTGGGTCACCTGCAAATGGCTTCGCACTCTTCGCTTGTATCAATCTTTGTATAACACTAAGCAGGTCCTTCAAATATGATAACAGCGCTTAGTCACGTCGACAACTCTGGCTTAATATCCTTGAGCCAGCAGAGCGATTTGAAGTGGGGATAAATGCGACCTTTTACAAGAGTTTTGACTCTCTGCTGTGGTAAACTTAGCTCTTATATTGATGAACGATTCTGCGATGTTGGTGAATTGTTTTCGAGAGCGACTTGTACCGGAGCCAAGAACCACGCCGCTGACGTGCTAATTGTTAGCCAAGCGTACGTTTAATGTTTCTTATAAGGCTGTCACGGACGTATTCATCTGCCGTGTTTCCAATGAACTAAAACGTCTGCGCATTCGTCTGACTGCCGTATAAGCGCTGTTGCATGACCTGGCGTCGTTGAGTGACGGAAATCCAGGTCTCCCAGTGTTTTGACCTCAATCCACACTTGTGGTTAATATGCGTACGTCCTGTTCGTATCGCTCGCTCTAATGGTCGAATTAGAATTGCGTCGAGTATGTATCGAGTGATGCACAGCGAGAGATCTTTGTCATGGTTCGAAGCGTTTCCAAACAATCCTTAAATCTATGGTAACAGACTAAGACATGAACTACAAAGTATTTCATTCAATCTTTTGTTGTCTTTATCGAATTATTCATTTTGCAAATTGAACCTTTTAGAGCCGGTGAGCTGTGACTTGAGGTTATTGAGGGGCATGAAATTCCACTTCTAGAGACAGTATAGAAATCAAAGAAATGTGACGATGTACATCAATTTGTTTCAAGATTTTTTACATCCTTCAATCAAGTGGTAATCAGAACAAAAATGTGAAATTTATCCACATATTACTTTACAACGTACATGCTTAAGCTAGTAATATGTTGTCGGACTGTTTATGTCTTTCATCGATAACAGAGACAATAGTATGCAACGAAGGATGAAATTTCTCAGTCAATGACAGAAGCGTTCTTGGACAAAAGAAATTCCAAGTTTTTCAACATGAATCAAACCCTCTAACCTTCAAATCATTATTTCAGACGCTTAACATATGCACTTTACAAAACTTGTCGTTAATTGCAAGGTCAGGTAACAAGTTTCATGTAACAGCTGTCCTGCACTATTGACTGTGGAAGCTATGCGTTTGCGCAATGAATCACAAAAAAATGGGGGTTTCAAGCTTGATGAATTCAGTTAAAGGTGTAAGTTTTCAGTCAATGACAAAAGTAAACAATAGAACTTATTGTCCAGAATAAAGTTAAGTTTCCCAACACAAAAGAGTCTACATCTGTAAAGCCGGTAGTTTATCGATTTCAGTCCAATATATTTGAATGAAAATGTGAAACTAATCCTCTGTTCTCTGTTTGTCTAGTTACCGGAATTTGTATGTCTCCTTTTTATGATCACCACACACTTCGTATTTCGAGCAGAATCTGTCCGTCGCGGTTCCTGTTCGCAAGGTGCTGAAATCTACTTAATTAACACATCAGTGGTGTTTGACATATGCCAAATAGCGTGGTAGGGGTACTTAATTGCGCCAATTAATAATTTGTTCTTGAGAGAAACCTCAATCCCCTCTCTAATCCCTATAAAGAGGCCCTCCCTGGAATACTTTGGATGGGGTTTAACTATATTCCGAAATCTTATCCATATTTATGACCAAAACACAGCATCTTACCAAGACAGTTTTTGTTAGCCCTCCCTTTAGAGCAATTTTCAATTAGTGTCGAAAGTGATCCGGGATTGCTTTGGTTCTGCCTTACCTCACCAATGATTGGTCCAGAAAACTTTACGCCATCCTTTCAACCAATCAGATTCAAAGCTAAACCAATCTCAACATGGTTGCCCGCGTTTTCCCGCCATTGAGGCAGTGCTTGTTTTTACTTCACGTTCTCTTTGGCTCTTCATTACATTTCCGTTCGTCTAATTGGCTGCCAATAAAATTTATCGAATTGCACACCGAATTTCTCTGCATCATTCATTCTGTCACCTCTCTCAGTTGTAGCACTCTGCAACAAATCTTACCCTTGTAAGTTGGTGTTTTTCAGTGACGAAAAAAATGACATATGTGTTCATCTGCTTTCGTGATTACCTTAAAAACACTTAGCGCCGTCAAATCTTACCCTTTTTTAGGTTGGTGTTTTTCAATGGCGAAAAAAATGACATGTATTCGAGTGCTTTCGTGATTACCTGGAAAACACTTGGCGCCGTCAGACCATAATGGTCAAGTGTTTACCAGTTTCTTAAAACTAAATGGTATAAAGAGAAAAGACCAAACTCAACCGCACGAGGAATACCTGAATAGCATCTTCATCTGAGTATCGTCTCTCGAGCACCGTGCTAGCGTGCACAGTGGTTCATACCCTACGGACTGCTGAGTGACAGATTGTAACTCAAATTTTAAAGTTTTCCATTTGTAATAATTTTTTGATCTTCTCAAGTTATATTGTGATAGTATCTTTACCCTTTTTGTTTTTGATAACATTTTAAGTTCTCTTTTTCTCACGCTTATATTAGGTCTATTCCTTCAAGTTGACTATACCTCTTTGCGGTGCGAAAATGCAAGGGAAATATCGTGACGCTGATCGATTCTTTGAGAAATATCAGCGGTGCAACAACAGGAGTCTTGTTATTTTCGGCAGTTTTATCAAAGCTAGCATTGTTGTAGCGCAAATTTCGAACTCCCTTGAGTGATAATTGAGTACGAAAGGCGGTTTCGCGAAATTTTAGCCATAAGTAAGAAAAAAAAAAATCAACAAATTAAGACGATATTCTTTTTAACTCCGTCTGAGGCTTGAGCGGAAAATAATAGTATTGATCTTGTGAGGCCATGTTTGATGTTGACTGGTTGCTTTTGAATTTACCGGTCAACGGTTTAGTTAAATATCACAATAGCCCCAAAATGCGCATCATAACGGGAAAAAAAAAAAAAAAAACAGTACATCTCTATAGCGCCGGAAGAAACATCGACAAAAGGCTGAATAAAACAGAAAAATGTACGGTTAGGTGTTGCGCTGGGTCGAGCACGATTATTAACGACTCCTATAGGTTTGAGTGCGTGCTAATTTGATCAGAGCATCCTATATAATCGTAGAAAATGCTTATGGTATCATGAGGCTATCAGATGAAGTTGTTGAAGGTTTCAAAGTGCTAGATTACGAGAGAGGAATCTCCGTCACCTCAGTGTACGCTGGAGAGGTTTGCATCAGTTTTGTTTGCTGATGTATAGATTAAAATTGATGGAATAACAAGCTTTGATTGGACACGCCGGAGAGAGGCCGTTGCAAGCCGCATGGAACTACATGGTTGATATCGATGTAAAAAAAAAAAAAAAAAAAAAAAAATGGTAAATTCTCGATGACTACCTGATTGGAATTATAGAGAAGTTTTACTTTCAGTTATAATTGCCATAGGTCACTTTGATGATCTCTTGAGATACTGTCGGTTTGGATGCGAAGAAATTAAGTGTAAAGTTATCTTTTAATGGGCAAACACTTTAAGAGTGATACTGAATTGTTTGTCAGTTCCCAATTCTTTTGTTGACTGGCTGTGCAAGATATGGACGCGTGGCGTGGGAAAGCTGTCCTTCCCTTTTCTGTGGAAACAAACGGAATGGTTTTCACTTGTTTTTGTTCGATTCGATGGATGATTGTCATCCATTTAGATGTGAAGAAAGTCTGTTTTGAGGACTTTATTCTAACCGAAATCGGATTTTGTTTTCTCAAGAAGCTTTTCTTTTACTTACATCGGAAAATTTCTCAGATGGTCTTAAATATTTATGCAAAAGCAAACCGTTTTTGGGAAAGCCAGAATCTGAATGTAAAATTATTCACAAGCTTTCAGGTTTGAAATAATGCATTTCCGTTTAGAAATAAATATTTGAAAAAACTGAAGTCTTGCTCACAGCATAATGAGCTGCAGCTGGGTAACAAACAAGCGATTTGCCAATTCAAATAGTATATTCAATGAACAGTTTTGAAAAATCATTAGTTTTTTGACGGTTTTTAATCGAGCTGAAACTTTAGGTTATTTGTCATTTGCAAGCACTTGTGTGAGGAGGTTCCAGTCGAAATTCATCATTACAAAGATGCTACAACAATGATTTGTGTAGTTACTGTTTCAGTACTTTTAGTTGCAACTGACTATCTTCAGCGTAAAGGGGATCGCAAAGCACGAGAAGTGCTATTTTTTAAAATACTAAGACGAGAAGAGGAAACGAAACGTGGATGGTCAAACACTGTGCGTGCGCAAGAGTCTAAAAATTATATGGTCGGAAGTTTGAACTAGTGTAAAAAGGTTACATTTCTAACTATTCCAAAACGTGGGACATATGAAAGCAGGATTTTGGTGAAAAGTTGAATCTTGTTCTTGTTTTACTGTGAAATGACCTCAATGTTTTAAACGCGACGCCACGTTTCGGTGATGAAGGCAAATGACAGAACATTTCTCCACCCCTGCGGCTCTTCTCACTCTTCTACCCTAGTTCCCAGTCCACTGTCCGCGATAAAACATACACTTGCCGATATAGACTTTCCTTAGCAAATGCAAAAAACTACTTTGTGCTTGGGTTCTTGTTAAAAAAGCCTTGTTTATTATCGCCATGTTCGGGCCTAATGCGTTTCAGGGAATTGAACAATGAGTTTAGACGATATGCCGTATATAAACGTAAGTCTGTTGTTTCCACAACTCCTCGAGATTGAAAGATCCTTCATTTTCGTTTTCTGAACTATTGCCTTAAGGCGGTGAAAACTCACCGATTCATTTCTTCAGCACTCTTCTCATTTTACTCACCGGCACAACACAACAGTCCAACTGTTGCCTCTTGTATGTTGCCTCTTACAACAATGTCTCAAGTCCCAGACCCATATATTATTTTAATGGCGTCAAATCGTTTCCTCATTTTATCAGTTCTTGAACTTAAAAAAAGTCACATCTCTTACTTTTGGCTTTGTCTGTAGATAAAATTAGACGTACATTCATCCTATTTTTACCGATAGACAAGATATATACTGAAGATAGGCAATATAATCCATTAGAGTTTCCTGCGTAACAACTACAGAAGACTTCCGTGCTTGCGCTAATGAGAGCCGCGTTAGGTTTTATTTCTCTTTTTTAGAAGACTGAATGAAAAGATAAATTGGAAATACGCAAGGCATTGATTATTGAAAAACAAAACAAATCGCGGAAAAAAAGAAGAATAGAGAAAACCTTGCATTAGGATCGCTTAACATTTTGTCATGTTTGTAGACAGGAAGACATCATAATTTTGATCGGTTCACCTGTCAAAAATGGAAGACTGCGGAATAGAATTATTATGGACAGATATCGGCTAAGAATGGACAAAATATCGTGACAGTAAGTTTTTGGTGATGGCAGAGTGCTCAAAGCTGCTGCCATCTTTTCGAGTGGATAATTGCGTTCGTTTGACTAAAAAGGAAAGAAAGTCCATTTATATTTACTCGCACGTTTCCATAAATAATTTATGGCTTACATTTGAGGGAAATAAATGATTTGGTTCATTCAAATTAAGACCCGTACAGAAAACAATTGGTTTCCTGCATCCGGCCATTGAAGCTGATCAACTGGGGCAGACTTTCTTTGATGGCGTTTAGGTAACCTTCAATACAAAGTTGGGGTCTTGAATAGATCTACTCTTCCGTGGGCATTGTTTCCGCTTTGTGTGATAGCAAAAAGGTTCCCCCCCCCGATGAGAACTCATTTCTGTATCACAAATCATGCTCACAGCGCTTGAATCAACGCTTGATTATTGCAGACGAATCATGTCAATGATTGATATATGTAATTTTTCGTTTCTTGTTTTGATTTTTGTCTTTGTTTCATATTAGAAAAAAATATTTGCGTGACTATGGATGGGGTTAATGCCCGAATACTTCCTGAGATGCTTCCCAGTCGGAGAAAATTTGTAAATACTATTCCCTGATCTTCGCGGCCTCCGAAATATATTGAGGCTTATGGTAAGTACACTTTAGAGTAGAGTAATTACTGTTCTGCTGTTTATTTAGTTACTCTGATGTGATCGCTATTTACAACAACACGTATACATGTACCTCAATAACATTTAAAGCCTAGTTTTCGTTGTGTGTCGTTTTCGTGTGCATCCCTACTAAAATAAAAGCTTTTCCCTCTTCAGATATTTTCTGCTTAAAAATTCGTCACGCCAAATTGAAATTAATTATGGGTCATGCGACGTGTAAGTTTTTTTTTTTTTTTCTGTATTCTTTTCCCCTCAGCGACGTGAAAAGACAAAATACGTAAAATGTTTTTTTCATTTTGTTGGGAGAAGGATTGAAACTCCATTGAAAATATTATCAGCGTTTAGCTGTTTATTTTCTTCGAAGATTTGCAATATTTTTTGAACACCTGTCATCTCTGGCTGGACCGCTGACCGTTTTTAGCCAGAGACAAGAACATCGACTCATACTTACATCAAGAAAACGGAAAGCGATGGGTCACGAATGACAACAATCGAAATTCCATTTCGGAACCTGTCTGGATTTGTGAATCATTGATATGTTGATGTTTAACCAGAAAGTCACGTTCGTGTATCAAAACTTCATTATTTTCCTCGTATTTAGGCTAACTGGAGACTCAATTTGTCGTTAACTGGATGTGCTCTTAAGTTGTCAAAAACACGTACAACTTCTCGAGGTCAAGAAACTCGCGAATATCGACACTGAAAACTCTCATCAAAACAAGTTATTTTAGCACTGTGAGTCCGACAGAAATTCGCCACTAAAAACATCTTTTACGGCTCACGGCTCGTCCATCATTAATTAGACCTAGAGAACGTACACCAATCATATTCGGTCGGCATTTAATACCCGGTCCTTTCGTCTGTAAAAGAGCTTGTTTGTCATACCTCAGTCTGTGTCTAAACACAGTTCGAAATCCACCGTAGTCCGTTATCTGTTGTCCGGGCCGAACTATAAAGCTCGTGTTTCAGACTGATCCGACTTTAAATCCAGGTTACGATCGTAACATTTGTTTTCTCGCCGCTATCATCTCCAATGTTAAGTAAAGTTTGAGCGCTCGGTTTTACTGATCTGTCGTCCGTCAATTAGGATTAAAACTCATTTTAGTGTAGAATGAACCATAGGCGACCCAAGCGTGCTGTGTGTAACTTTTGGGCATCTAGTAAAATAAGGACTGGATTGGATTCGTAAAACATGGATTGGATTGGTAAAACATGGATTAGATTAGTAAAACATGGATTAGTAAAACATGGATTAGTAAAACATGGATTAGTAAAACATGGATTAGTAAAACATGGATTGGTAAAATGAACGCTAAACAGGGCGAGTTACATTTAATCTTACTTTTAGTAGTATTTTATCATACTTTTTTACTCTTACTTTTCAACCAAATTATTTGACACAAAATAGACAGTTTCATTTAAATACTGATGTTGCCTTTGCCCACCAGCAGGTGGTTTCAATCGAAAATAACATTCCTTTACCATTGTTTTATTTGCGTGGAAAGTGACAGTTGTGAAATAGCTGACAAAAAACCGCAAGCGACTAAAACGTGACGCTTGAGTAACCGTACACGACTAAAACGTGACCCTAGACGGCCCAGAGTAACCGTTTCCTTCTTTGATTTCCTTCGCTAAGATTATGCAGTGCACGGAGTATTCTAAAATTTGACTAAACCTTACTTTTGCTGCTCTGAATCTTACATTTATTAGAGGTCAGAAAGCTTTCTCAGTGTTTCATACAAATTGGGAACATATCAGTTTACCTTGCGGTCAAGGTCAACTTTCCGTGATGCGCTTTGATATTTGAATCCCGCAGTAAGGGCAAAAGGATACGCGTACCTACAAAGCGATTTAGCCAGAATGGGTGGTAAAACGGAGCGGCTCTCGGATCGATGCAGCGGAATTTGGAAACTTTTGCCGCTGGAAAGGATAAGTAATAAGTAAGCGCTCTCACGGGTGGAAATTTGAGAGAGATCGGTCGACTTTTGTGCAATTTGTCGGCCTTCGAGTGGCGACGGTTGGTGTTCGGGACCGGTTGAAGTTTCCAGCCTTGATTTTTTTTTTATACACAGTTGACCGGTAACACCACACGCGTTACAAAGAAAGTCGCCAAAACAGCGTTAAAAGGACCGTAAACGACAAAGCAGCAACGGAAAAAAGGAAAGGAGACTTCATACGATATATTCCTCGCTTTTATTTTCCTTTTTAATTTTTTCTTAATTTTTTTCATAATTTTTCCTATTATACAGTTGATTGGTGGTGACACCGCACGCTTTACAAAGAAAGTCGCCAAAACAGCGTTAAAACGACCGTTGGCAACAAAGCGGGTACGGAATAAAGGTAAGGAGACTGCACATGTTTTATTCCTCGCTTTTATTATCCTTTTAAATTTTTTTGCTTCTTTTTTATTTTATAATTTTTCCTTTTTTTAACAACGCCTACGTACGCTTGAAATTCGATCTTAATATGTTAGTTATTGCCGTTAATGAACTTTACACCCAAAGTCACACGCCGGACTGAAACCTGGGTCACACACAGTACGCTTGGGTCGCCTGTGAATGAACTGACAAGCACGTTAATGTTCGTTGAAAAGCCAGTGTTTTTAAAACAAATACCTTAAATTACTGATTAAAACACGGGAAGCTCAGACATACTGTTTGCCGATTATATTATGCCGGTCAGTCTGTCAAGTTGTATGTTAATTTTACTGCGACAGATTTTAAATGCTGATTCAATAGAAGCTGTTCTTTTGCCTTAACATCATTGTCTACTTATTTGTCCTGGTCGATACGTGGTCTATATTTTTGCGTTTCTTGGTTAATTTGCTTCCCATCACGGGCCCCGTGGGGACTGTTGTCATAGGGATGGGTTTCGATGGGTTCTACCGTTAGCAGTAAAACGGCCAAAGCATTCTGCCTTTAGGTGTAAAAATTGACAAATTTGAACCGTTTGTCGTAAAAATTTTTCCGGTGACCGCAATTTTTTATTTTTAATAAGAACGTCTAATTTTGGGGCTAAGGCTGGACGTTCTTATTTCATTTATTTATTTATTTTTTTTTGTGATTTAAGCCTGAAAACGTTCTTCATATGTTCTTAAAGTTGTGTGGTATAGTATTTCAATAAACGAATTAAGTTCGACTACAAACTGAGTGTATCGTGCATTTAGAAAACCGCATTGTTACTATTAAAATGTATTGAGTTAATAGTCCTGATAGACCATGGTTTTGCATTTCTTTTACCTTTACTTACACTTCTCACAACTGAAAAAAAAAAAAAAAAGGAAAAAAATCAGCAAAAATAAAGACTCTCAGCCTCGGTACGATCTTACTGTGTTCTAAAATTTTTGGTTAATTTCAGCCTGCACGTCCTTGACGAAAAGGGTGTGTATCGGCCAAGATTTTAACTGTCAGCCGGGAAAGTCATTATCCCACTGAGATCCACAGAGAGTTATCTTGCGTACCTTAAGCTGAACACCTCCACGTTTTACCTGGCTGGTTTATGTGGCATTTTTTTTTCGTCTTTTTGATATCTGAGGTGTTATTCTCTATAGTTTGTATAGCAGGTGATGGATACAACATGAAAATGCAAATGCAAACAAAGAGTCGTTCCGCTGGAGGTTTGCAGGCAATGTTTAGCAATGTTTTTACTTTTCAAACACCACGTATCACTCATTTTCTAGAAACAGTACGTCTGGACTGCCTGTGGTGAAAGAAAAAAAAAAGGTTAAGAGAAAATGTTGAAACTTGACTCCTCATGTTAAGTAGCTTGTTCATTTTGTTTACATGTAATCTTCACCTCAATGACTGCGAGCCATGATTGGGCCTTCAACATTCTTGTCATGTTTTTAGGGAGTTCTCAGTAGCTTGTTTCCGATGAAAGCATAGGCCTTAGTTAAAATCTGCTCGTGGCCTATGTTGCATTAGACGTCTGGTAACCGTAGCGGAGTTCTCCTTGAACGGTAAGAATTCGGGAATTGTGTTGTAAATTCAGTTTTTTTAATTTGCGCAGTATGTGCAGCAGTTAGAGTAGCTGGCAGAACAAGTCTTTATTCTTCTGCAAAGTAAGCACTCTGCTCCATTGTCACGCTCAAGTTTATACTAGATGTTGTTTCGTTGGAAGGTTTTGGTATCAGTTGTGTATCCAGTCTTGGCTTAACTTGTTAGCAATCTCTAATACAAAGGCTACAAAAGTCTCTAGAAAGTCATTATTGGTTCTGCATTCGCTACAACCAGTCGATCATTAGCGCTCGCAGGAAGGTCACTCTGCAAATATAGCCAGGCGTAATCTAATTTTGAATGTATTTTCGTTATACTCACACGCACACGGTGAAAACATCCTTTTTTTTATTTTTCGAAGATAGTTTGAACTCGTTTCGAAATCACTGGCAATCCAAAACCTCTTCATTTGGAGTGCAGCATTTACTGACCACGTTTAATCCACTACGCTATTGGTTGGTAATTTGTGCCGTGATAGAGATGTAGCATCATGACAACAACCGCGACTGAGGTCTTAATGGGTTTTACTAGCGGCGTAAAGAATGGAAAGTGTTTTTAGAAGACCTGTTATTTTGATGGTCTTGTTCACAATTTTTGGTGAACGATTTTTCTTAAGCGCATTTATCTAAAAAAAAAATACATTAAGCAAATCTATTCCCTCAGACCCCAATCTTCTCAGTGCATGTTTTCGTAAGAAGATATATTTTGACGAAGATTAACCGGTTAGTTGCACGCGCGGACCATTACATGTAATTATATCGTTAAGCTTCATCGCAGTGACAGACAAACATTCTGAACATGACATGCAAGCCTGCGATAAAGCGTGAAATATCTCTTTTTCATCTCGATTTCATGCGCGAGGATAAGCTCTAAAGAATTTCTTTAATAATAATCAGAAGTCGCAAGGAAACGAATTAAACCGGTGTTCATTTCTGCATAGAGGACTACGCCTTGTTACCTTAATTATGCAATCCACAGTATTAGTTCAGGAACTTTATCCACTGTATGATTTCAGCAGTCTCAATTTGTTGCTCCGTGTATTAGCTCATGTCGGAGAAATGTGATTTATAGGAAATCCATAACTGCGCTCATTCTTACGATGGAAAGATGAAACATGTCACACCAAATTCAGTTTGTCTAAGATGGTTTTAAAGCGCATCGTTTTGCAAAGACGGTTGAATTGAAACCGTTCTTCCAATCCAGCAATTCAGTACAGCATGCAGAAAACTGCATAGAGCAACGTAGCATAGTTTAAAGAAGGCTCACTCATCTCCATACCTGATTATTCAGCCGGTAAGGATCAACCTAAAATCAACACTTATGTCAGTAAGTCACCTAGACCGTCACGAACTCTTCGAGGTCATTTTTGAACGTTTGGAGGGCGAACTTTTAGTGAGCGTCATGACAAATTCTGATACTGTCTGTTGCATTCGAGAGACTAAACTTTTCAAAGAGTAGTCGGTGAAGGGTAGAATACAATAAAAGTTTTAGGCTTACTTCCTTAGCTCTAACGAAAAAGATCAGCAGGTAGGCTCAAACAACTCTATGGCATTATCGAAAAAAAAAAAAAAAGAAACTCAGTTTTATAACGTTGCTTTACGAATGACTTTCGGTTGAAAGTCACAAACAGGCGAAAAGGAACGTCACGCTGAAATTTTGGGAATTTGCACGAAAAGGGTATTTGATGTACCGATATTACATTATGTTTCCCTCAAGAAGTAGTGCAAAATGGTTTGATTGCTAAGATCTCTAAACAATTCTTTGAAAGTTAATCATTTTTACCTAAATAGTGTTTTCGTGGGATGAAGAGTTCTTTTATTTTGTGTTTGGTTTGCAACTGAGTTAATAACTCAGGAACAACCCCTGTGATCAGTTCTGATCGTGGAAAAACATCTAAACCAGAAGCTATAGATAGATTTAATTTTCGCCGCTGATAAAAAACTAATTCGTAGATTAACTTCAAAGGATCATACCTAATAAAATTAACATGAAAGAAAAACACAAAAGGGTCATCCATTGTGACCAAACATCACCGAATTTTGGCCTGTTCTCCATTTAGTCCTTTTTCGAAAAGGTACAGCAACATTTTTTAGTGGAAAGCTGTACGAAAAAAGTGCCTTTAATTTACCCGAATTCTCTGCTACTATTCTGTTGTATGAGTGCACATCTGAGAAACAGTCTCCTCTACTCCTTCATACGTTAAAGATCTATAGTCACTACTGAGTACTGTTGATATGCTGTGATATTAAAGGAAAATTGTCAATTGTTTTCCATACTATCTGATGACCCTGTGGACATACACAAATATTCCTGCAAGTTCTTCCTCAAGTAGAAACACAGTTTCTGATTGCAATTTTTTTTTAATTTAGCAATGTTATCGGAGAAAATTCCAGTGTTTAATTGCAACGAATAAGTTGACGTCGCGGATTACGAGTGTAAGATCACAACGAAGAGTATTTATTTCTTATCTTTTTCACCTTTTTCGTCATCTCCACTCCTACTAAACCAGAAGAGAACGCGGACATTATTATTAAATATTCCTTTGCTAATCTAAAACATAAAACAGAGAAGAATTCAACCTTCGTCCATTAAATAGCTTTAGGCAGTGATGCGATGTTTCTAGAACAACTAAACACTCGACACACCTTGATAAGTTTATTAAAGAACAATTAATATCCGGTCTGACATTTTAGATTGTCGTGGATATGTTGCAGTTATTTTCTTGTCAAACAAGAGTCGAAATGGTGGAATCATGATTCAATTTCATCTGTGGGCACTGTCGTTTTTATCAGCGCTCGGGATCAACCAGAATAACTTTAATCATGGTCTATGTTTTACAGCTGTATTATAATTTTATGCAAACACATTTCGTCTAAACTCTCTTCAGGGATTAAACTAAACAAAAACGTCTCTTTTGTGTGTTTTGTGCCCTGCGATAGTGCCCATAGGGTAAAAAAAACAAAGAAACACCATCGACTCGTGTCAGCTCTTAAAACCATTGCTTTGTGCGGTGAGTAAATATTTGGTGGTCCGCTCTGTTCAGCACGGTTCTGTTTCCAGGCCTGTCCTTCAGACGAAACTCACTAACACGAAAACCAATTTCCAACTTTATGTAAATTAAATACAAGGAAGGCCATCCAGGCACCGTTCATTGACAGATCACCTTGAGTAAAAAGAACCTCACACGTGCACTTTCATCTCTAAGCACCTCAGCTCTTACTTGACCCTTCTCAGTTTCTTTTTGTGTTTTGTTTTGATATAATCCTATGCATTTGCGGTCACAAAGAGTCCCAACATGCGTTTTTGTGTCATGTCGCAGTGAGACAGTGATAAATTCAGGGGGCGCCTGAAAAAAAAAGTTCATGCGTTGAACGATAGTGAGTTATCTGCTCTCGTAATATGGTGCGGGTAGTATTCTTTCGTTAAACCTACGACATGAAGCGCGAGTGAATAGAAAACCTGATCAAAAGAGTTCACATTTCTTGATTTATGTTTAAAAATGAACGAGCAGCTGCCCACAGGTCTTACTAAAGCAAGATGTACTTATGATAATTACCTTTATTATGTTTGTTTGGGGTTAAATGCAAATGCTCTTGATCTAAGAGAGCTCGATTGTCACTAGCTGACACTGATTCATTCGGGTGTCAAGATATATGTGATTCACAACGAAGGGCAAGTCTTCAATTTTCAGTCTTCCTGTAGAACTAATGGGTATAATACAAAAATGAAATTTAATATAACCATTATTCATCCATTCCAATCTGCTTTATAATTCAAGGTACGTAGATCTTTTTCATGTACAAACAAATCAGAAGCCTTTTTTAAACAACAGCATGCACTAGACATGGGAAACCTTGATTATACTCATAATTCGCGCAATCATCCAAATTATCTGGTGATTATGAATTGAGTAAATCTTTTCATTGTTCGTTGAACTTGGTTATTTCATTTGACTTTATCAGGCTCGCCAGACGAAGTCCATGGTTCTCTTCCTGATTTAATTTCTGCACGAAGGACGAATTCGACATGGAAGCATTTAATACGAGAGCGGTTTTCATCGTGCTTGGGTTATGTTGCTCGCTTTGCATTAACTTCACTTGTGCGAACGGAGACATGAAAAAGCCAATTGTCGCCGGTCTTGTTCCCGTGCATCAGAGGGAGAATGGAGACTCGTGTGTTAAACCAGACTTACGCGGCATCTTGACGGTCGAGGCCATTTTGTTTGCTGTGAACAAAATCAATGAGAAGAAAATTATTTCTCCAAACAAATCATTAGGTTATGAAATCAGGGACACTTGTCCTCGGGCGGATAAAGCTGCCATGGACCTGGTGGTTAATTCTCACCGACCTAAAGATCAGTTTCTAGCTGCAGCTGTGGGCGATCTACCTCAACAGCGTGACGATACTGACGCATTTTACCGCGCATTGCTGATCCTTTTCACCGGCCAAACGCCCCACATGAGCTGCATCGCTTCGACTTACCAAGTCAAGAGAAAGCTAGATCTGATATCTCGCACAGAGTTTGTATTTCATGCAATCGCGAGGGACAGATCCAACCTAAGGGCGATTGTTCATCTAGCGACGCGACTGAACTGGACATATGTGGGAGTAGTGTACGACAACAGCCTTGAGGGAAAGTACACGGCAGACCTTCTTGAAAAAGAGGCCTTAGACAAATTTGTCTGTATCGGTAAAAAGTATTCGCTGGCATCAAATGCGAGCGAAGCACAAGTCCAGACATTGATTACCTCTCTGAAAGCTGAGAAAAATTTTTCAGTGATTGTAATGTTGACCTCAAAGCTCCTTTTCAAGAGCATCATTGACGAAGCATTTAAGCAGAAAATTAACGATGTAACGTGGATCGGAACCGATTCGTCATGGGACAACGCGGCCGCATTTTCGATCGAAAATACAGCAGCTCAAGGAATGATTAAAGTTGGTACGTCCGCAACGATTGTAGAGTTTAAGAGTTATCTTCAACAATTGATATCAAATCCTGGCCGTAACAAATGGATTATGGATATGGTGTCCTTAGGTCCAGCCTCTCCTGAACCAGATACGAAACCAACTGTGAGAACTACAACCAGTCCCCAGACCCAGCCACCTGCAGCTACTACTCCTCAAAAGAGTAACTCCACCGAAAATAGTACGGCGCCTCCATCTACAGTTCCGCCTGCACCGTCCACATCAGCCCCAACTACTACCCCTTCTGTGGTACCCACTGTCGTCCAGTTGAACACGACTCTGCTGGAGCAACTTGTGATTGAGTTAAAGTCGATGGCATACAGCGCCACCTGCACTATTGATTCTATTTTTGCCGTGGCTCACGCTCTCTCCGCACGAGAAAAGTGTAAGACAAACTGCCCAGAAGTACACGACTTTCACAAGTTCATCCAGAACGTAAACTTTACAAGCCTTAGTGGTCAAAGGGTACGTTTCGACCCTCAGAGAAACTTGAAAGATGTTGAGTACAAAATCGAAATACTACAAACTCCTGGAAATGGATCGGCCGAATCAGCTCAAGGTCGGACATACCTTAAGCTCAATTCTGTTGGAACCTGGAAGCAATCAGGTACAAAAAACTCAGAACTGACTATGCGACCTCTGACAGGGATTCAGTGGAATACAGAGGAAACCAAGGTACCAAAATCCATCTGCCATGATCCATGCAAACCTGGAAAGTTCAAAGCCTTGAAGAAAACCCGAGGCGAGTCTGAGTGTTGTTGGCACTGCTTACCATGCGCGGAAAATTTCATCAGTACAGAGGACGAGTCATTAAAATGCACTCGTTGTCTATCGGGATCCACAGCCAACGCTGCAAAGACTGAATGCATCACCCATTTTGAAGACTACGTTTATTGGAGCGACGCCGGCAGTCTGGTTATGTTGTTCATCATGGTGGTGGGAATCTGTTTTAGCATCTACGTTGCAGTAGTGCTTTTCAGAAACAGAGACACGCCTGTGATGCGTCGAGCCAGGAATGCTATGCTAGTTCTGTTGCCTTTTGTTGTTATACTCTTCTTGATTCCAGTCCCCCTCCTCAGTAAACCCAACACCTCCTCCTGCGAGGGTTATCGAGCGTTCTTCATCATAGCACTTGGCATTCCTTTAGCTGCCCTTATAGCTAGATGCATATTCGTTGAAAACCGGTACTACGACGCGGAGGGTCAAATCAAGGAGAGCTGGGGACAGTGCATTTGCACTCCGCGCATTCTTTTTGCCATAGCAACAGTTCTCATCCACATAGGTGTTATAATTGTCATAGCGATTTTTCTGCCAAACGAGATTTTACGCCACCCCACAGATGACCCTTTTACTGTGTACATCGAGTGTTCCATCCACGAGGGATTCGGTTTCTTGGTCGTCATTTTCTACATCATGGCGGTGGCCACCGTGTATTCGATCATGTCCATGAGCGAGGAAATCACCCCCGAGAATGACATGGAGGTGCGCTGGACGTCGCTTTGCATGTTTAACTGGTACGTGATCTGTTTCCTCTACGTCACGATTAATTACGGCGTGAATGGAAAAGGAAAGATCTTTGGCTTGGCCTTTGTGGATTTCCTATTCGCAGTCAACATCTTAGCTTGCATCTACCTCCCCAAGTGGTATGTAATCTTGTTTCAACCAGAAAAGAACCAGGCGGACGTCTCGCCTTGGACCATGTACGTTAAAACGCAGGAGAAAGTGTCTGTGCGTCTGTCAGGAGAGGAGTCCCCCGTGTTACCAAAACGTGACCCTCTGGCCAGTACAGCCAACGACCATACTAAAGGACACAACGACGTGGACGTTGACAATAATGAGTCCAGAGGCCTTGTTTATGACAAGGATACGGATGTGTAAGGACTGGACACGTCTCTAAGATTTTATAATTCACCGCAGAGCGGGAAGAACTAAAACTGATAATAGCAAAAGGATACTGAGATATTTTAAATGTAGGTCATATCTGCTTTAATTGTTTGTCGCATTTTTTTTCTGCACTGACGATACCTATTGTGCATAGCCACAATGACATCGTCGAAAATTGGCCAGAGGTGATGTCAGAAAACAAACGATACATTAGCGAATAAGTATTCAATCAAAAATTTTAAAACGGTCACAGAATGCTTGCCCTGTTTGGATGATACAAATTACGAATGGCTCCGATTTGGATACGAATAGGTCATTTCGTTTGACTCGCTGCTGTTCCCACAGTTTTCTGGGTCGATATGGTGTCACTTCTCCTAGAAACTCATGTTAGACAAGTCAGAAATCTTCTTCCAGGTGGTCAGTTAGTTCGTACAGTGGTACACAGCAGTGCAAGAAAAGGCGAGATTGTATTTTGGAACCACTTTTAACTAACAGTTCAGATCCCGGTTGTTCAAAGGTTGCATAACGCTATCCATTGAGTAAACATTTATCTGGTGGATAGCGCAGTTCGTTTTGTTTACACTTTTCCACCGGATAGCGTTTCATCCGTTGCATAGTGTTATCCCCCTTTGAACGACTGGACACAGGCTGTCATTTCGTAGAGGTCTAGGAGCCCCGGTGATAATAATGTTACATTAGTTAATTCTTTTTTGGAAACGAAACTGTTTTGAATATTTTGTATTACTGGACTACCGAGTCTCCGACGATTTTAAAGTACATTCTAGGTTACTTAAGGCTAGAGTTACTATTAGTTATTCAGTCGTGGAGAGCTTGAGAGACATTTTGTCTTGGAGGATATGGCTTAGGTTTCAACAGCCTGCAGTGCAGGCGTATCATTAAGGCGAGTTAACGTCACCATATAAGCTCGCGATCGTTTTATCGACCAGCCGGCCATATTTGATTTTGAGTTAAAGCGGACGATGGGGGGAGGGGGCGGAGAAAGGTGAGAAGACCACCTTACCCACCCTCCTCATTTCTTTTGACCGTCACTCAACCCCTTGGCACGAATTACTTTCTCTCCCCAGCCTTCTGCTGCGGTAAAAAATCAAAGATGGTATACGCAATTTTCACGAAGAAAGTACTGTGCATTCGCTCGCTAAAACTACGCCTGATGCGGGCTAAGGTTTCAATAAGCGACGAATGAACGAAAGCGTACGCGATAGTTCCAGATGACTTTATGGGTAATGGTAGTTTCGTTGTCTGATTAAATTCTTGATACTACCCTTGTTTGGCGATGGGAAGCTTGAAAGAAGAAAAAGGTCGTAAATTCATAGGCTCCATTTTTTTCTGAAAAAATTCAGCCTGTAAACTGCGATGAGCCAATGGTAAAGAACCTTTACCCGTGAAATTATCTGGCGACATCGCGCATGTTTCTACGCTTTCGTAGGACAACCTCTTGGCAAAAAGCTGTATGAATGATATAATGACTCTAAGATGTATAAATTTATTCTGAAAGTGATACGATTGAGAAAACCTCGATTAGGAAATCAGAAATATCTTTGTAGCTTTGCAGCAATTTTTTGCAAGGTTTCAGTCTCAGCACACAATGTAAGAGAAATCGATCAGATTGTCCGCAAAAATCTTACCGGAAATTGTATTGAATACTTTCGCAGGTATCACAAGAGAACGTGTTTAAAAGTTTGCGAGGTTCATATAAAACATAATGGTTGCAGGCGTTAATAGGCCGCTTTAAACGATAGACGAGATGTAAGCTGAAATCTTTCTAGATTTTTTGTATAATTTACCGGTACTGAAACTTTGCCAATCCCGTGAAGTTGTGAAGTTGTTTCGTCGCACGGGCCACGCAGGTATGTCGAGCAACTGGCGCTTACATCTTTCTGTGCGCGCCAAAATCTAATCTCCTTCGGCTTGTTGTTTAGGCAAGGTTCAGCGTGTTTTTTTACGACAATGAATAATCCGGGTGAAAATGTTTCAGATCGTTGTCGAGTATGCTGTTCTGTTTTTATCACCATTAAGAGAAAAAGAAATCTTACTGGCGAGTTCATGAAAATATTTGAAGAAGTTTCCAGTCAAAAGGTTTTACCAGACGATGGTCTTCCGCGTGCAGTTTGGGACACTTGTCGCTTTAGAATTGAAATATCCTGAAAACGTTATTGTAACAAAGAGGCATCGATAAAAGTTTCCCGTGGGCAGTACCCAAACAAGAAATTCGAATTGTTGGTGTTTCCCAGTTTCTACTAGAGGAACATTTGTCAAGGTATGCACAAATGCAATACAACCTATGTTGAAAAAAAAAAGAAAAGAGAAGCTAAGCGTGGAAACTTTTGTTTATTAGATGTGGGTAGATGACCCTGTACTAAGCTGACAATTACCGTGTAAAGCAAGCCCACCCTTTCCATCCAATATTTCTTGGTCTTTTGGTTTTGTTTCCCCCAATGAAAGCAGCATCGATTCCCAATGATCTAAGGTATTTAACTTGGTCTTCAACAATCGACAAAAGAGGTGAAATGACAATGACCAAGGGACTAGAAGAGAATCCGTGGCCTTTTGAGCTCAAGAATTTGAACACTCTAGGCCGCAGTTAACAGATTAAACTCTTTCCAAACCCATCAGCAACTGTCCGATCATATCTCTCCTTCCCAATGTTCCCGATAATAGGTTTTTGTTCAGAATTTAATTCGCTAACCGAAAACACAGCTAAGCTTTATCTAAGCGATTGCTGGAGGTCGTCCACGAACTTAACGTTCTCTGCAACCTTGGACCATTTTGTAAAAGACTTTGCTACGAAGCGAAGGTTAGATTTTGGCACGAACAGAAAACTACGTAAGCGTAAGCGCCAGTTGCTCAACATACCTGCGTGGCCCGTGCGACAAAATAACTTCACAGGAATGGCAAAGTTTCAGTAACAGCAAATCATACAAAAAATCTAGAAAGATTTCAGCTTCCATCTCGTTTAACGTTTAAAGAGACATATTAACGCCTGCAACCGTTATGTTTTATACGAACCTCGCAAACTTTCAAACACGTTCTCTTGTGATACCTGCGAAAGTATTCAGTATAATTTCCGGTAAGAATTTTGCAGACAATCTCATCGATTTCTCCTACATTGTGTGCTCGGTGGGACTGAAACTTTTCACCTCGCGCAGAGCTCTGTCGCACGGCCCAAGCAAACATGGCGAGCAACTGAGCTTATTGTCTGAGTCCGTGTAAAACACACGAAAGCACTCTTCACTCTGATTGGGCAGAAAAACACAAAGATTTTCTGGCACCGATCAGATGCCAGAACGACTGCGATCGCTTGGAACTAGTCTTGTAAGACAATGTCCCCAGGGGCTCTTCTGCCGGAACTTGAAATCGACTCACAGCCCCTGGGTCTCCAAGGATGCCTTTTCTGGGCTCTTGTTCGATCCACATCCACTTTTCCAGAGTCCTGATACAGTCGCTCTGATTTAGATTTTCCATTTTGTGAAGCCAATCACAAAACACGGTTGGATCGCAACGCCTGCAGGCGCGAACAGTTACTCGGGAAATGACCAAAATAGAGCATCTTCCTTGTCTTGCTTGTCACACCATGTTGTATCTAAGCGTGAGGCGGAATGTGATGCAGGATAAACATGGCTTTCTTAATCCTTTGAGGTAAGGTGCCATTACTAACGCCGTCGAAGTAGCAAATCTTTTGGTCTGCTTTGTGCTTCAGGTGAAAAATTGTTTCAGTGCCAATTTTCAAAAGATCGAGTATGTGCACCTCACAGGCGAGCGGTAAACAGAAATCGTTGGTGAGATGTCAATCTGTAAAGCATTTCTTTTGTTTTTTGGAAAGTACAAGCTGAAACACACTCGATCGATCGATCGTCAAATAAGTGCTTTGATAGCGACGGGCTACGTGTCAAAGTGAATTGAATTTTGTTTCTTTCACAAATGCAAATCTGTTGTTACGTGTCTGAACAATAATTTTGTATGCTGTAAGCAAATTTGCACAATACCGAAAAAGCTATGTAAGTGCTGAAATTATCGAATTAAACCTGTCATGATAACTGCTACGAAAGTTGAAAATATCGAAGCCCTTTCCAGTTTCAGTTTTACGGTTGCAAACCTTGTTTTGTCTGTGAACAATAATTTTGTATGCTGTATGCAAATTTGCAAAATACCGAAAAAGCTATGCAAGTGCTGAAATTATCGGATTAAACCCGTCATGATAACTGCAACGAAAGCTTAGAACATCTAAGCTCTTTCTGTAAATGTTAATTTTACACACCAAATAAATTGTGGATTATTGAGTTTGTCATTAAATGTGTTAAGAGTGTTTTTGCAATGCAAGAAATGGTTACCAAGGAATTTGGTGGCTCAAAGTTGATTTCATCCTCAAACTCCTAATATGTAATTATTAATTCTCCTTTCATATGCTATAAATGTTCCTGTAAACGAGAGGAAAGAATTGGGTTTTAAATCCTGATGACACCCATCAGCGAAAAAGATCATCTCTTGTTGACACCCATTTTTTAGATGTGTTGTTAAAACTATAGGGTTCTCCACAAGAGCTAATTGTCAACCAACACCCGCTGGCTGGTCTACTATTTTCAGCTGGCCACTTCAACCTTTGCTCACCAAAATTACTGGTTAAAAAAGTGATGCAAATACCGAAATTCATTGTGGAAGTTTGTGTGGCAACTATTTCCCAGTTTAAAGTGGGACTGAACGATAATTTATTAGTAACAGGTCTAGATGTGAGAATAAATTCCATGATCAGGATTTCCTCAAAGGTTGGTGCAACATTTGTGGAATACCACTGGGGGCAATTTAAAGTAACCCTTTCACTTTCAGGATCTTATTGTTAATTCTCTCCTCAGGCTGTTATACAATTCTTGTAAATTACTCAAGAGAACTTCATATTTGATCAAGATAACAACCTCTACTTGATAAGTTTTAGTATTCTCATTACCTTTTTGCTGGATAATATGAGGATAAAACATAGGGAGAAGTTACATGTTCATCGCTTTTGGAAGTTAAAGGGTTAATTAATAGTTCCTACCCTTTTTATACAGTCTGAGAAAAAACATGGGATCCATTGTTACCTGGCCGCCCACCACATATTTGCCTTCTGCTCTCAAATTTGATGACTTTTTCATAGTGAAAGGGTAGTGCATGGCATGATAAGAAGTGGTATCACATGATGTATACCAAAAGGTTGCATCTGGAAGAATTTGTGCAGGAAGTTAAAACATGTATGGAAGCTAGAACTGTTAACTGAAAGGCAAGCCCCTGGAGCTCAAATTGCTGAAATAAGATGCATGTAATGAGAAGAATATTGCAACACATACATTAATAAAAATAAATCCACATAAAACTTTTTAGTTTTTTTAGCACCAAAGTAGCTCTAGAGAATGTAAGGCCAGAATGTGTTATGTTAGATGTGCATTTTATGGCACATTGAGGTATAAGTGGGAAATAATCAATCTGCTAGTAGATAACAAGGGTAGTTGGTGATATAGGGATGTTACAGTTTTATTCATAGCTCAAAACAAATGCAGGGTTTACAACTTCACTATTTCATGTTTTTTAAATGAAAGGAGTCTTTATTTTCACAATTTTTGACATTGTCAATTTGTTCCTTGATATTCAAACCCAAAAACTAACTTGTTCTTGCACAAGATACTGTGTATGCAGTACTGTCATTGACATAACAATTATTCTTAAAAAAATTTTTTTTTTCTCTTTTGGAACCTGGACTGTAGGTGTAGTTAGTGCACACTTTTAGTTTTATATTGTTTAGAGCTGTTAAAAAAAGTGTCAAAGATAGATTTTCTCTGTACTCAGTACCCTCTGAAAGCTCTGTTTTTAGTGGTAATGAACAGTAACTAAGTATACTCTTGTAATCCAACTGATTACAAATTATTTCAGAACATTTTTATTAGAGATTCTTTCTGAACCACATCCAATGATTGGAAAAAACTTCACTGTTTCTCCAGTATTTGCCACCTAAATAAATGATTTTCTTATTATAATTATTATGTTTTGTTATGTCTTGTTTTCTTTTTTAATGTTGGGAAATTCAGGTTATTTACCAGCAAAAGTTTTTTGCCTCATAAATGAACACAATTGTAAACAAGCTAATTATAATAACAACTATAATAATCATAATGATAATAATAACAATTGCTTGAGATTAATTTTGAGCAAGCTAACAACCTTGGTTGAAGACGTTACTTTTTTGATGTGGAAGGCAGGTGTCACTGGACCAGTAGACACAATCTAACCTTGTCTTTAAGTCACCATTTCAGGTTTTAAGGCTGTTATACAAGTGTGACAACTGAAATAAATCTTAGAGCCACTTACACTCAGAAGTAACCATAACCTTCTTATAATAACGCAAATGTAACAATATCATTCACAACTAAGGAGAATTAATTAAATTTAGAATTTTTATTAGAAATCATCTGTTATGGTTTCAGCTTACTGGGTTCAAAAATATTGTCTAAGTTTGAAAAATTATTAATTCATTCTCCACTTGCATTCTAGTACTCCCATAAACTGTTTTTTCCAAGTGACTTTCCTGAGGCACAAAGGGATCCATTCTGGTGCCCCTCTAGGTAAAGTCCATTGGCAGCTTTTATTGCCATTCTGTTGTACTTGGGAAGTTCAATACTGTACTCATGGGCACCACCTTCGTCACTTGCCAACACTACATTACCTTTTTCATCACAGCACCAGTACTTACCAGAGTCAGTACGGATCTTGTATGAACCATTCTTGCTCATCACAAAGAACACATCATATTTAGAATGATTGCTCTCTAATAAATCTTTTCCAGATTTTACTCCAACAAAGCCATGTTCACCACGCAGGACCAGCATGGGTCTGTTGACAAGCTCTGGCACATGAAACCCTCTCTCCTGGTCAATTTCATCACTGCCTTCAATAAGATGGCCATTGTCCTTGCCTGTGATGTACTTCCCATTTCCAGCTTTGAAAACAATCTGTTTTCCATGCCATTCCAGCTCAAACCAGCAGTTATCTCCTGGTGTTTCTGCTGAAGCTGTCATGCCCTTCTCACCCAGGTACCAGTATTTGCCATTGGTTCCACGCACTGCTACTTGTCCCTTGTCACTGGTCTTGTCAAATTCCAGCTGGAATATCTCTGTGTCTTCAAGTTCATCACGGCGACTCAGGATCACATCCATTCCTATTAAAGGACAAATTTGAAGGTACAGAGCAAATCTACTTATTATGTCAGAGCACCTTTATTTTAAGTGCTGTGAAACCAAAGTAATTGCAATGAGGTGGTGAGAACACAAAGGAAATAGGCAAAATAAGTTTAAGCAATTGTGGGAGTATGGAAGTGATACAGTTGCAATAGGGTTTAGCTCTAAACCTAGTAGATTGAGTAGTTATTGTAAGAGAGACTAACTGTAATACAAGAGTTGTAGGATCCTGGATTTCTCAAAACACTCAATGGGAAATTGTTGTAATGCACATTCTATTTAAGTGAAAGTGTACCTGTCACAAAACAGTTTGTATACAACATAGCTTTGTCCGGTCAGGAGAGGACTAGTTGAGACAGAAATTGAGCAATTGTTAGCTGCCCTAAGCAAACTCTCTTCCATCAGTTTCCAAAAATACGAAATTTGTTGTTTTAAAAATATTCATGACAAATTTGTTTTATTTTACGATTTTACTGAAAAGTTTATGACCCAGACTTCAATCTTGTAATGAGTTGTCCTTTGACTTTGTTTTAACAGCAGAGGGAATCTTGCCCAGGGGACTAAAAGCTCTTTACATCAATGGTAACCCCAGAACTTTAAAATGAAGACATTCCAATTAAATTGAATGGAAAATTTTTTGTTATCCAAGATCAAAATGAGGCAAAATGATAGTTACATTTTTCAAATGTTGCATATTATTAAGGATACTTTGTATTAAAGAGCTATTTTCGTATCGAGATAAGCTGCTATCACATTTCCATCCTGTTGTGACAAATATCAAGACTATGACAACCAAACAATGCTCTTGTACAAAAACTCTTGACCCTCCATGCCACACATAATTTAAACAGATGAGAACTGATAAGTTTTGAGCATTGTTTACCAATTCAAAAATCTACTACATTCAAGTTGGATGTATTCTCGTTTCAGTTACAGTTATTGATATTACCACGAAACACCTTTCTGTCTGTACAACTGTTATCGCTTGTTGTTATCATATCAATCGGATAACATTATTATTTAATGCCGGGATCACTGATTGATTTCAGGCTTCACGCTTCCTATATTACCATTTAAGGTAATAAATTACTTAGAATTCAGCCCAAAATTGCACAGTTTTTAAAGAGGGCAAAATACCAAAAAACAATTAATTTTGCTTCGGGCAGATGTCACCAACCATTGTTTCACTGGGTTCTCATTTAAGGGAAAATTTCAGTTCGTTTGATCATGTCATCACCGCTATTCCACGTAACTTTGCCATGTTTCACGCAGAATTCAATGTGAAAAACGTTTTTTTTTGTTTTTGTTGTTGTATTTTAAAGTACAATGCAAGCAGTTTCCGCAAATGAAAACATTAAAAAGACTCGTTGGGTGAAAGGTGGCCGTTCGACGTCGGAGTAACGACAAAGTAAAAATTTGAGAGTAAAAGCTGCCGGACTTCCGTTTTGGTTATTTAAATTTTGATCGCTGGAAGGAAATCAAGGAGACTGAATGTTTTGCAATGCGATAAAACCAGCCGTATCCAATCGAAAATGCTTCGACTATCGTTACTTGATGGAGATTTCGTGACAAATAACTGATGATGGAAAGCTTGATCAATATCGATCAACTTAGCGCCATACGAATCAGCTGACTCTGTCGCGCGGAAATACCTGTCAAGATTCCAGCAACTCGCCCATGCAACTTACAAAATGAATCTCCCTACATTCCAAAACTCGCCTCTTTCTTGGTTTCCTTTTGAATACTTTGTTGCTATGATTTTTCATTCACGTAACCAAAGCGATTTTATTGTTCCATTGTCTAAATCGTGTAAAATTATTATGAACACAGTTGCCGCAATGGCCGCTTGTAAAGAGCCAGTCGGAAACCTAATCCGGTAGGGAATTTTTTCATTATTAATATTCTTGACCCACTGTTACCATTGTGGTATTTGTTTCTCGAGTTGAAACTTAGTCCAAAATGACCGTCATTTTGTGGCATTTTCCGCTCGAAAGCCTTCTATTTTGTTTTCCGAGATCCTCGTGGCACGTGTTTAAGTTTTTCGATCGCAAATCCATTTATCTTCGCTTTTCAACTCGGCTCCCACAATAAACAAATAGAGGACTCGAAACAAAGCAACTTCAAACCTGTTGATTTATCGGCAAAATGTGGAAAATTTGCATTTTTGGTGAATGAAAATCACATCGACGTCGCTCCTATCGACAACTCGTCGACAACGGTTAAAAGTTTCGTGTTTGAACAATAAATAAAGCAAGCTTTATTTGTACTCAACCAAAACAAGCCATGCATACCTTGGTGAATCGAGAGTCGTCTGTCTCTTTGGCCGATGAATGAAACCTGCGGCGGGCTATCTTGGATAACGAAAAGCTCGTCTTTTCCGACGGTGGTGTTTTTCCCGGCTTGGATTTTACCCGTTCCCACCGCTGCTAGATAATTGCCTTTGTCCGTTCGGAAGGCCACCTCCCCCTCGTGAAACTCAATGGTGAATAGACTTTTTTTGCTGGGATCTTCATTCAGAGAGCCGTCGCTGTTCAAGTACTTTTTATTGCTGGCTACAAAAGCGTACTTTCCTTGATTTTCGTCGAACTCGAGGGTGAGCATAGCGTCTGCTCCCCATGGAATAATCTCCGTGGCTGTTATAGTCTCGGTTTTGGTGTCGAGATGCGCGTAGCGTGTCCTTCGCGAGCTCATCACATTGATTTGCGGGTGCATGGCGAGCTGAATCGACCAAAGCTCAGTTGTTGATGGTTTAGCCACGCATTTCAGCTGATCACCTGCTCCTCCGAAGTAAGCCCCGTGAACGCTCTTTATTGCCCAGTTTCCGCTGGCTTGCGTCTCCACCGTGAATTTCGTTTCCTCTGTACGCTCTTCTTCTTCGCACTTCATGTTGCCTTTCGGATCAGCAGACAAGTACCGGTTCAAGTGACTCCGAAAATAGCAGATGTCGCTGCCTTGGTCCTGTTCCAGCGTCCATATCTGCTTCTTCCTCATCGAAGCTCCATCGACGTTCAGCTTGAAACCGAATGTTTCGAGCGTGAGATATTTCTTACTGGCGTTGTTCAAGAGTCCCAGAGTCCATTTAAACGTTTTAGGAGCCATTATATTTTCTAGAGGAGTCGAATTTTCTACTCGGCAAACGCTTTCAACTATGGGTAAAAACGGTGATTATTCAACCTAGGGCAAGACGTGAGAAAATCAGCGAGCGATCAACGACGCGTCCGAACTTGAGAGGAGAGCGCAATGTGTGATCACAATGTGGTGTGAAATGTGTAGCTATGTGGCTGACTAAGGAGCCAGGCCTGGAGGAAACGATCAGTTCACGCCCTCTTACTGCGCGGCTTGTCATTGTGATAAAGCTAGTCGCGAGAGGCATGTCATACATCATTTATGTGACAGCGTGTGGTCGGTACGATCTTATAGTATTACTAACTGACTGAAATAAAACTGCGGTCAGTTTATTTTTGTTTCAAAATTAGAAACTTTCGATCCTTTAAACCCTGTGGTTGGGGCCTCAAAAGCCTCGCAAACGCAGCATTTCCGTCGCCGCGCCTAGGCTTGTGTTTTTTTTCGTTCCTGCACGTACTCGATCAAAAGACGAGTGACCAGACGGCCATAAGTGCTCTTAACTGCCAACAGATGGCTTTATCGACTCTAACAATGGAAACCGTGACAGATATGACAGTACGCGCATTAAAAGTCACGAACATCTTCTCAAAAATATCGCTCACGGCTCGTTATATTGTTATCGCAAATTGCGCGCCTGGAGTAGCCATCGAAAAACATTATTTTGTCATTGTCCAGTTACCTCGTTAATTATAGTTTAAATGCTAGTCTACTGCATGATAGTTACTTCATTGGCTGACACCTGTTTTTCATAAAGGCAGAAGTATCTAAATTGGAGCCAAAACGCGTCCGCGATCTACATCTACATTTATTAGTCTTACAAAGGGGGGGGGCCATCACGCAAGACATAAAATAACAATATGGGCGAATTTTATAGATTGATTGGAGGTTTTTATCATCATAGTGTAATACAGTTCATTTGGCCTAGAAAGCACCAGGAAAGTTACGGTACATTGGAGGCAGAAGTCGTCCTTTCGGTCCTATGTTGGCGTTCTGGGAGGTTGAGCTTATATTGATGTTGAATACACCAACGAGCTTTCTTTTTATCATGCCTTAAAACTGAGGAAAATGTTTATTCTCAAACCCCAAGAATCTCACCAGATACAGAAATTAAAAAACCAACAGATCTCTCAATGAGGTTTAAGTAACTGGCTGTCTCAATGATCGTGCACAACATGTGACATTGTTAATATCGATGGTTCGCGATACGCTTTTTTCACCAATATATTTATTTTTTCCAACAAAACCTTTAACTCAGAGAACTATATTTTTAACCAATTACATCCTGTCGCGTCAGTGATATTTTCCTTTCTGTTCAAACGATTCGTCATCGTTCTTTTTATTGTATATTTTTTCTTCGTTTACTTAGCTTGACAAATTTGCTTCGGACTTATATCAGCCACCATGGGTTTGGATGCTATGGTAACACAACTCGACTTTTAGTTGCTGTTTCGTTTTTTTAGCAAACTAACAAAACAAACGGAAATTACACTGAAACGCTGATAATAATTGCTAAAAAATAATTTCACCGTTGTTTTCTGAAGAAGACGATTCAATTCTCCACAAAGAGCTATTCGTTTTCTCTCTTCATGATAAAGAGGTTGTCTGGTTGTCGCGTAAATTTTCAGTATATCTTATCTAGATTCTAATGTATACAGTAAAGTGTTATCGGCTTTTAATGATTTAATTTTTTTTCTTTTTGAGATTCGGTCGTATCACATCGTATCATATCATATCTTCGGAATATTAAACTGAGTTGTATAATGGAATTTGGTTAGAACTGACCCAGCAGTTATTTACATGCACCTGTCTTAAGGTATAAAATATGGCAACAAGAATTCGATTTTTGGCTCGAGTTTTTGCAACTTACGGTGTAAATTTTTTGTTACAATAATCAAGTTTAATGAGACTGTTTCAGATCACAAAAAGCGCAGAAACATACTATTACGATGAAAATTACCGATACCCGATGTAGTAGTGTGATATATCTTTTCACAAAATTTATCATAAAAGCAGTATAGTTGGAGCATTTCACGTTTTTGGTTTTGTTTGAAATTCCAAACTACAGCCGCAACAACAATCGCTCGTAGTTTGCGTAGGAGTTTTGTAACAGTAATTTTATTTAGGCTAATTTAGACCGGCTGGGAAGGAGTGTGATTAATAACAACCTTGACAGTATTTATTTGTAGAACTAGTTTGATCTTGCCAATCATGAATTGATAATGAAACAGCCGTTAAGTCGAGGAAATTAACTTTGTTAAGCAGACAAAATTTCCCTACGATTGAGGGCCTCAGGAAACGGAAGTTTTTTAACAACTAAGAACGAGTTCAGTTCCAACTTGTAAGCCGCTGATCAAAAAACAAAAAGTATGTTTCAGGTACATCGATAGAGAATGACAATCCCTCCATCTGGTTCCAGCCGGCTTTCCAGGAGATCGAAGCGCACTACGTATATTTTGATAGAAGAAAATGCCGCATATGAAGTATTTACTTTTTCAAGCAGAAGCGTTAGGATTATCAGTGGGTTTCATGCAGAGTGTTGCGTGATTGTTTCCCTTTCAACTGCGAGTTTGGTGCTAACTGTTCCTATTATTACAAAGGAATTGTTCCTTCCCTATTTCAGACAGATTTGTGAATCGACTTCTTGACAGGAATTTTGTATCACTGTCCTGGCTCGCAGTGACTTGCCTTGACCTAACACGGGCGGGGAAAACAAACTGCGAGATACGCTTTATGGTTTTATCAATTTTATCAATTTCATGCGGTTTATCAAACACCAAGATTAAAGAGTAAATGGAAATCAGTTGTCTCGGGGACTCAGCTTCGTAGCCGCCGCGCCAAGAAGGGCACAAACCCCAACAGTGGCCAAAACTGAGATCGCCGTTGTTAATGTTGTCGAACAGTCGGCATTCTGTATTTTGTTTCAACGAAAGATCGTATTAACTTCATTGAGAGATTTACACATAATGCCTTATTCGTCTTTTGAGGAGGCATTTTGTACCCACCAATTACAATGGATAGCGTAGCCTGGAATCGTTAATCGTGATAGGTCGACCTAGGTGTGGTTAGCATTCCCTGCCGTAATCCAGTCAGATAGTGTGAAAGCCGATTAGTCCGGCTTATACACCCAACACGTACTCTCTTTGTTCTGAAGAGTTTTCGGCTGGGTTTCACTCACAACTTTGTTTATCTTTAGTCCTTAACAGTTCAGAATCTTGCAGGGACAAAAACGAATGAAAGAAATACGCGTAAGCCTCTTTCTCAGACAACAGAATTAAAAGTACCGATGATCGCGCCATGTATGGTGACTCCCACAGAAGAAACACCATAACTTTTCTACTCGATACTCTGACCAGCTGGATTATAATCAACTAATTGAATCACGGTCAATGCTCAGTGGTAATGCTTCTTTGAACGGGATTTGTCTCAGTTCGCTATTGCAAATTTTGAGCGCGTTTCTGTTTCCGATGATACCGAAAAGTAGAATTTGTGGAACATTCAAAAGTTTTCATGTAATATTTCAAAAACGAGTGCGAGTGTTTTGTCGGGGTTTCCAAACACGAGAAAACTTATGAAAGCACGAGACCCGTAGGCCGAGTGCTTTTAGTGTGTTTGAACACCCCGGTGAAACACGAAGCACGAGTTTTTGAAATTGCTTCTCAATCGTGCATCATTAGCCAAGAACAATGAAAAAATTCTGACTGATTTTGGCATCAGTGGAGTTTGACATTTTATCAAGCTCTAGGGTTTGATATTTCATCAAATTATAGTGGAAAAGCCTCTGTCAAGTGTTTCAGCGGGGTTTCTAAACGCACACGTGGCCAAATTGGCGTATCGTGATTGGTTTGCAACTTGATGAATTATCAATGAGTTTGAAACTCATTTGACAACCATTCCTTAGTGGTTGATTCAACAGTGATGCTTAAGGGAGGCATTACATTCCAGTTACTCTTGGGGTGAAAGTGTTGATGATTCAGGGGCGGATCTAGGGGGAGGGTGCAGGGGGGTGCGCACCCCCCCCCCCCCCGCCTGAGATGACCTGCGGCTTTCTAAAACAAGTGGTATTGTAAGAAATATACAAAAACTTTTTTTAGAGACATGTTTCGGCATGCTTATGCCATCTTCAGTCAATGAGTAACTGAACGTGAGTAATTATATAATTATTTCGCTCCGACGAAGGGCTAACGCTCGAAACGTCAGCTTTTGCAATCATTACGGTGGCCAATTTACCATTTCAACTTTGTTGATATATCCAAGTTATATAATTATATAACAGACAAGTAGATGAATAAAATATTTACAGTGTGATGTAATACAAAAGCGGGTACTAATTACAG